TCTTGGTTGGGGGCTGGTAGATACCATAGGTTATTGCAATATATGCTTTTGTTTGGGCTGTAGGCGTTTCTGCCACCCCGGAGTAGTGGGAATTTGAATACATGGCATATTTTGTGTTTTTGTATTTGCTTTTGTATTACATGTTACAAAGCGGACGCCCAACCCATGTGCACCCTATTAAGGGTTGATTAATGTGAAGTGGTTTATAAAAATGTTCTTTCTGTCTCATTAGGGGTTTTGCCTTTTAGCTGACAGCAGCAAGGTTGATTGTTCGCATAGGATTCACCTAAGAAGCTCGTCTTTAAGGGGCAGGTGAGTTTGTACTTTAATGACCATTGGATATGTATTTAAAAAAAAAAAAAAAACTCCTCCCCCTTTTCCCCACCCCCGTCCATTGTGTGCATCTGATACTGAACATCTAGCTGTGCAAGCCCCCACCATCCCTCTCTACTTCTACTCACTATATAGTCCCTCTCTTTCTCCCCTATACCTTAGGGTAACTTTAACTGTAAAAAACCATGACTGTTACCTTGCAAACCTTAAATGTACTGGTTGTAGTAATGTAACCTATAACTGCTCACTGTAACACTACTTTGTTAAATAACTTGGATTATAAGCATCACTGATTTATATGTGGATTGTATAATGCTGTACCATTACGGTTTATTCTCGCAAGTCATGCAAAAATAAAGAATTTTTTTAAAAAAAACTCCTATTATTTAAATGTGCATTGGGATGTGGGGGAAGTGTGCAGGCAACTTTTTTTTCCAAGAAGCTCAGTTGCTATAGGCACTTCTGCACATTATCACATCACTCTGAAAGACAGTCTATATTCCCCGCTTCACTTCCCAATGGGTAAGGTTTTTAAATCTGCATGACGTTGGCTTTGATATTCTCTAGGCTATCAATACATAAATAATTATCCTGGCAATAGAAGTAGTTAGATAACGGAGATATAGATCCATTGCAACATTTGTGAATAGAATATGGATTTGTAGATAGCAGACATGAAAAGCTTTTCGAACTCTGCAGACTAATCTATTTCACAGTGGAGTGTTTTTTTCTAAATATAGGATCCATTATCATTAGCAAGGCACTTGGTTCAGCAGTTGTCTGTATATTTCTGGCAATGAGGCTGCATCATGCGTTTAAGTGCACTTTATGGGCTCTTCATCTGTAAGTAGCATGCTATATTGCAGGATGTCATTTTACCTACTGCTTAAGTCTAGTCAGGGGGATTTAATAGGTATTCAAAGAACATACTGTATGTCTGAATATTTAAACAGAATAGTCTTCTATTGGTGCAGACGGTGAATCAGCACAGAGATTTCTAGCACAGAAGTCTGTGGGTATCAGTATTTTGTTAAGGTACTGAGTGGACCTCTATGTATAAACATCAGCATAGGAACCAGAGAAAATCTGTGCGATCAGTCTTCATAATAATCCCAGCCCCACTTAGTGAGAACGTTTTCTACAAGCAAAATGACATATCACTAAGGGGTCTATTAGCGGAATGGGATAACCAACACTTAATGTATGTTTTGTTTTTCTTTTTTTGAAGATCGAAACATATGATCTTAAAAGCTACACCAGATTTCTTTGGGGGGGATTCCAACCCCCTAAAATTAAGTTATTAAATTAAGTTTTCAAATTCTATGGATTTATTATATATTAAACCCCATTCATTGTCATATCAAGTGGAAACGAAATGGAGACACATACCTCCAAAAATATGGCATCAGGAACTCAGGACGGGGTAAGCGTAGCCCTGAGGTGGCATCCCCAGTGATGAAAAAGGAGCAGGCCACCTAAAAAAAGGGCACGCTCACCTACTGACAATCTGCCTGACAAACCACCAACCTTCATGACAACGCATTAGGATGTAATGATACGCTTGCATCGAGCTGCACGGGAATAGCTCCCTAGTGTCCCCAGGGAATTAAAGCAGGATAGATCACCAAAATCGTGACTGACCCACCAAAATCAGGAAAGTTGGGGGGGGATGGAGACGCCCATTATCAACCAGTACACAACGGACCCAAAACCGAGACAGGTTCAAGATTAATAAACCAAAAGCAGAGACAACGCACTGTACAGGAACAATACCCATGGGAGACCATAACCCCAATCCATGTCATACAAATAAATGGGAACTAGCTAACACAGTGTTTTACAGAGAATATAACCTAATGCTTTATTAGGGCGTTTTGTCTTGTGGGCCTTAATAATATATCATGTACGTAATTAAGGCCCAGGACCACAGGCCAAAAAGTTGTATGATTGTAATTAAGTGTTCTTGCATAGCAAGACCACTTAATGTTATCTCACATATATATTATTAAGTGTTCTTGCATAGCAAGACCACTTATTGTTATCTCACATATATATTATTATTCTTATTAAGTGTTCTTGCATAGCAAGACCACTTAATGTTATCTCACATATATATTATTATTCTTATTCTTATTCTTATTATAGCCAAATTTGCCACCCTAACTCCTCCCACAGTTTTTACACTACATAGACAAAAATTTACCAAAACGTGCAGATTGTAAATTTACCAAAACGTGCAGATTGTAATACTTCAGAGACATACTATGCATCAAAATGTAGGTCTGGGTCTTGTGATTCTCACAATATAAAGGTCTTCGCTGTAGGATTTATAGTTTTTAAAATACGACCGTTTGAAGATGGCAACCGCCAAAATACTCTGATCTGTGCCAGGCTGCAGCAGCAAGTGATGTCATAGACAGGGCCTTTTGAACACTTGCTAATGTTTTTATAAATGTATGGTTTCATGTAACTGTGCAACAAGGTTGCAATTAAATGTGCTATGTAAATGATAACAGTTACTCCGCCCACTCCAGTTGTAGACTACTGGTGGAGGCAAGAACACTTCACACAATTTCCCCAGAAATTGTAGCTTTTCTAGTTCTTATTCTTATTCTTATTATAGCCAAATTTGCCACCCTAACTCCTCCCACAGTTTTTACAATACATAGACAAAAATTTACCAAAACGTGCAGATTGTTCCCGATCGGATTGCTATTACTTTGTGGAACGTTTCGCCGAATGGTTCACGGAATATCGTCGTTCTTGTGGCGCAATTTGTCCCATAGGAATGAATGACAAAGCTAGAGTGGGAGCTGGCAAAAGCCGAAAAATCAGGACATGATTTCTAAACTGCCACCACTCCCTTATTTTCAGGCCCACCTACACAAATCTTATATCAAAACGTTCAGCTATCCCTGCTGCCACTAAACATGTCAACGGCTAAGCCATAGTCCTGATAATTTTCACAATATAATCATTTGTTTGCAACTAATGCCGTCCATTGACATTCATTGAAACTTCACTCTACAAAGCTCAAATTTGAAGTGCAATTTCTAAACTGCGACTGTGCCTTCATTCTTAATACTTCAGAGACATACTATGCATCAAAATGTAGGTCTGGGGTGGCGGGGCCTAGCATCCAAACGGAACGGTTGTGCTGCACCTCGGCTCCTGCTCAAAACGACACAAATTGGGGAATTAACCCCCCAAAAACGGCACAAGAGCATGCAGGAGAGGAGCCATTAAGTAGGGAACACCCGGGTGAACCCTTGGGTGCCAAACTCAAACGTGTAACCCACCGAGACCCTGCATTATCACCCGAGGCCTACCAGAGATCGGGCAGTGGAGAGACGGCCGCTCACCACGCTGCAGACCTGAGTATGGACCTCCAGGGGTTCCCAACTCCTACCCCCCCCCCCCTTTGGACCGATGGGGGTCATCTCGGTCCATCATGGGCAACCAGAGAGACAGACGCCGCCTGAAACCGCAGATCACAGAAAAGCAACAGAAGGGCTACCAAGCACATGGCCTGCATAAGATGGCGGCGACAAGTATGAGAAACCACACACAAGGGACAGAGAACTGCAGTGACACTCAGCAGCGCCTGGATGCAGCCTTTGACCAATTCTGGACAAAGCTCTTAGACCTGATGCAAATGCCTCAGGTAAAACCGCAAGCACCGCCACCCCAGGGCGTGCGGAACCAAGGGCATGGGGAGCAGAAAGACACACCTTTGAAATACACAAGAACGAAAGGGCGGCATGTAGGTGAGCCACAACATGCACCACCTGACGCCATACACCCCAAGCAATACTCAGCCTCACTGAGAACCCACACCCATAAGCGCTCCAGACAAACTTCCCGGGTCCCCCACCCGCATAACAGCAATGGATGCCCGACCGCACAAAAACAAGCTCCCTATCCAGGTGCCTGGAGAACATGGCGCCTACGCAAATCTGCCTACTCACCTCACCATGGCCTCACCACAACTCGACCGGGCAGAGACCGACCCCTTGCGACTAACTCGCCATGGAGGAAGAAACACGCACCACAGAGCCAACCACAGGCACCGAAAGGACCCAGGGGCTCAGACCCGAGCCGGAGATTAAAATACCTGACGCCGGTGCATCGATGCAGAGAACTCCGGGTCTGGCAGCACACACGCTCTCTTAAAGGAGCACTCTCGGCCTGGAGCGGCGGCCTGCCAGCCGCGGGCATCGGCTGACCAACTTACAATACAGACTGGCAGGGACTCACTATGGCTCAACAGTCAGTCAGTCAACCTGTAAAACTAGCTAAAAAGGAGTCAATATAATCTAAGGGCCTGAGACTCTTAGGCTAGATATGTATGCATTGTTTCATTCAGTAAAGGAAGCAGCCTAGAACTTAGATATGTTTAAGTCATGTTAAAGTTTGCATGTTTCAACTGGTCAGTGGTACACTTAAGCATCTCAGCATGTTATTCAAAGCTGCTAACTGCTTGACATATGCCCTCTCTGACCAACCCCTGATGTTATCTTTTGTGAGACAGCGATAGTGCAGTTTCATTGGTGGAGTTTAAGCTGTATGTGTTCATCAGTATGCATAACACGTAGGCCAATGTAAACAACGTTAGGCATTGACTAATCTATTTTATCTTCTTCTAGTTAATCATATTTTGACAACATAACCATTTAGTTCAGCACGATATAAAATATAAAAATGTGCAGATTACTATGCCACTACCAAACTACTGTCAATCTTGCAATACGCTGTTGTGGCGTTCGTTGATATCCTGTAATCACCTGCACAACCAAAATAAAGAATTTAAAAAAAAAAAAAAAAAAAAAAATGTAGGTCTGGGTCTTGTGATTCTCACAATATAAAGCTCTTCGCTGTAGGATTTATAGTTTTTAAAATACGACCGTTTGAAGATGGCAACCGCCGAAATACTCTGACCTGTGCCAGGCTGCAGCAGCAAATGATGTCATAGACAGGGCCTTTTGAACACCTGCTAATGTTTTTATAAATGTATGGTTTAATGTAACTGTGAAACACTTTGGGCAACAGTGTTGCAATTAAATGTGCTATATAAATAAATAAAAGTTGAAATGCATTTCTTACTCTATCAAGCTTGCAATGTGCACTTTTTATATTTGATCAATCAATTGGTTAGTGTAATGTTTACTATATTTACTCACTCCAAACACTCCACACAGTTACTCTGCCCAGTCCAACCTTTCCACAGTTACTCAAGCCACTCCACCCAGTTACTCCGCCCACTCCAGTTGTAGACTACTGGTGGAGGCAAGAACACTTCACACAATTTCCCCAGAAATTGTAGTTTTTCTAGTGGAGATATGCCCTAATAAAATTTAGGATTTTATTTTCTACCACACACAGTGTTACCTGTTCCTATTTGCTTGTTTGACGTGGATTAGGTGCGAGGTAAAGTCACTGAGCAAGCCATGAGCATGTTTAGGATACCAGAGGATATTGCAGAGCTGTGTGGTGCAATCATGCAGAATTAGGTCTGTATATCTACTGACTGCCCAGACCTCTCATAAAGACTCCGGCATGGGAGGTTCTGCCTGATACAGAGCACAGGATCAATAAGTCATAACTCTGTGCTTAATAGACATGTGCAATTCGTTTTGTTACGAATGTCCGAATTGCTGAATTGCCAAATTGCCGAAGTTTTCCAAAATCGCAGAATTTCCGAAGTTCTAATATACCTACCCAGTGGAAGAATGAAGAATGTTACACTGTATACAAGTTTAAATAAAAAGTATACAAACATAGCCAGGATTCAGCTGTAAGCATTTGCAACACTTACAACAATCAAGTAACACACATTCATATAAAATGTAAGTTACTTAGTCAGTCAATGTAATGACAGTAATGAATAAGCAGATAACTCCCTAATTCCCACGGTATTAGGGAGCTATCTACTAAAAGGCTGAAAGACCTAAATTGGTCTTTCAGACAAATTTACTAAAACTAAGTAAAGATTACTTAGTATTAGTAAATTATGCCCCTACTTGCTATACCGCGAGTAGGGGCATGTCTAGTAAACAGTGAGCAGCCTCTGGCTGCTCACTGTAAAAAAAAACAAAAAACAATAAACTTTTTTTTTTTTTAATTAGTATTAGTACATTTGGCTGAAAGACCAATTAAGGTCTTTCAGCCTTTTGGTAGATAACTCCCTAATACCGTGGGAATTAGTGAGTTATCTACTAAGCGGCTGCAAGAGAAGTCCCGAAATGCCAAAGTGCTGCCGAAGTCCCAAATGCCTAACCGAATATTTTCCCCATGCACATTCCTAGTGCTTAAAGAAATATTATAGCATTAGGAATACATAAGTGTATTTCTAAAGCAATACTGCCCTAGTCATCGTTTAGCGCTGGTCTCTGACGTTCTACTCCATCTCGTTGGTTGAGATCATCCATAGATAGGGAAGCTAGAGGAGTATTACAACACTATTTTGACAGAAGGGCCTAGTTGTCAGTATGGCAGCCATTAGAAGCGATTTAACGCTGCAGAATCGTAATGTTTTCTGCCGCAGGGTTAAAACAGGGGTGGAGTGGAACATGGCACCATTTAATATGATATATAATGCATATAGGTATGCAAGAGAATGCTGAGAGTGGTCTATGGAGCTAATAGGTGCAAATGTCTTTCCCTAGGGACAGGACCACCAGGAATGTATCATGAAAGTTTCCTCTGAAGAAAATAAGTCTTCAATAGCCAGATGTTCTTTAAATAATTTGAACACAAGACATCTTAATATCTTTCAAATAAGGGTAAACTTGTCTGATTTATGCCCCGTGATCCCAGGCTCAGCGTTATCCATAATAATGGAAAATAAGTTATAGATAAATAGCAGTTTCCATACTTAGATCAAGAAAAAACTGAAATTTCAGCAAAGTAGATCCAATGGATATAAATAAACTATCTTGTCTGAGCTCAAGGGAAAAAAAAGTGGCACTTCTAGAATCGCTTCTCCTACACTCCTACATCCAACAATATAACATATAGCGTATAGATATCTATAGTTTCCTGGAGGAATATGAATAACAGCCAAATGAGCATTCATTAATAGCAGTACAAATGAAGATATAGATTATTCAATACAATGTTAAACAAAGTTCCGCACACCAGTCAAGCCATAATACTTGCATTTCCCACAGAAATTAGAGAAAATTTATTGATACTTACCGTAATTTTCTTTTCCTGGCTATTATTCATGGCAGCATTTAACATATGGGTTTAGCTCCTCCCTCCAACCCTCAGGACAGGAAACACAATCAATTAAACAATTAAGCCTACCTTCCCCTAGTATATTAGGTACCCCAGTATCCCCCACACCTCAGTCTAGTAACAAGACAAATAAACCAAGAGAGGGTGGGAGACCAAATGCTGCCATGAATAATAGCCAGGAAAAGAAAATTACGGTAAGTATCAATAAATTTTCTCTATTCCTGGCTAATCATGGCAGCATTTAACATATGGGATTACCAAAGCAATAACCACTCAGGGAGGGTAAGTCATGCTACAAAAACTGTTTAATATCCACTTAAGGCTTATAAGAGTTCAGGACCGATAGGCCAAACTCTGAATCAGAACGAGATGAGATATCCACTCTGTAGTGGTGTACAAAGGTTTTTAAAGATGACCAATTGGCAGCTTTACAGATGCTCTCTGCAGGAACTCCTGACTCTGCAGCCCATGAAGTAGCAATGGACCTTGTGGAATGTGCCTTGATGTCCTTGGGAACAGGAACCTGTTTAGCTCTGTAAGCTTTAGAAATAGCCTGAACCGTCCAAGAACGAAGGGTTGCGACAGAGGCAGCTTCACCTTTACGAGAACCCCAAGGTATCACAAACAATTGGGTAGACTTCCTCCAATCAGCTGAGCGTGAAATATATGTGGAAAGACACCTCCTTAGGTCTAGCGTATGACATCTTTCTTCCTCAGGAGACGATGGCTCCTGAAAATACCCTGGCAGGACAATCTCTTGATTCAAATGAAAGGATGTAACCACCTTAGGAAGGAACTCAGGTCTAGGCCGTAGCACAACCCTATCATCGAAGAAGGTAGTGAATGGTTCTTCAGACGACAGTGCTCTAATATCTGACATTCTCCTAGCAGATACCAAGGCCAGTAACAACAGGGTCTTGAGAGAAAGAACCTGCATAGAGACCTCATCAATAGGTTCGAAGGGATGTTCCGTCAAGGCCTGCAGAACCAGAGGCAAATTCCAAGGAGCAGAGAAAACCTTGATAGGAGGTCTGATCCTAATCACTGCTTTGAAGAAGCGAATTACAATAGGATTCAATGCCCAACGAATACCGGAAAGAGCTGAAAGAGCAGAGCAGTGCACTTTAAGCGTGTTAAGTTGAAGGCCCCTCTCCAGGCCTGCTTGCAGGAAACCCAAAACCTGAGACACGGAAGGGGAACCTAATTCTTGAACCGTGGAATTACACCATCGAGCAAAGGTTTCCCATACCTTATGGTACGTAGAAGAAGTAGAAGGATTCCTGGAACGTAACAGGGTAGAGATAACCTGGTCCGAAAGGCCATGTTCAACTAGAGACTTCCTCTCAATAGCCATGCATGGAGCCTGAATTTGTGAGGCTCCGGATGAAACACTGGACCCTGAATCAGCAGGTCTTCTGAGACTGGAAGTTCCCAAGGCAGGTCCACTGATAACCTCTGTAACAGGGGAAACCAAGGGCGACGAGGCCAGAATGGAAGTACAGCTATCACCTTGCAATGTTCCTTGGAGATCTTTCTCAGAACAGCGTGGATGAGGGGAATTGGAGGAAAAACGTAAGCCAGATCGAATACCCAATTGATGGATAGAGCATCTTGAGCAACCGCCTTTGGATGGTATCTCCTCGACACAAAGCATGGAACCTGAGCATTCCGAAAGGTCGCCATGAGGTCTACTTGGGGAAGACCCCACTTCTGGACCAACCGAGCGAAGATTCTCCTGGAAAGTTGCCATTCTGAAGCCTCTATCCGATGTCTGCTGAGGAAATCCGCTATTACATTCTCCTTCCCTGGGAGATAGATGGCACACAGGCCTTCCACATGATTCTGAGCCCAGGTCATAATGGGAACTATCTCTCTCATCAGGGCTACACTCCTTGTTCCGCCTTGATGGTTTATGTAGGCAGCAGCCGCTTTGTTGTCCACTCTCAACTTGACCCAGCAATGCCTGATGAGATGCTGAAAATGAAGAAGCGCCAGAAAGGTTGCTCTTAGCTCCCTGATGTTGGAAGGCAAGCATTGAGTTCTTGGAGGCCAATTTGCTTGAAAAAATTGATTGCCTAAATGTGCCCCCCAACCTGTCAGACTGGCATCTGTCGTAATGACCACCCAATCTATTTCCCGCAAGGGGAACCCCCTGGAGAGATTTTCCCATGACTTCCACCAAAGGAGCTTCTGCTTCAGAATCAAAGGAATGCGAATCAGCGTCTCCCACTCCCTCGAGTCGGTCCTGAAATTTTTTAGGAAAAATTGTTGAAGAGGGCGAAGGTTCCACTGAGCCCATCTGACAAGTTCTATCGTAGAGGAAAGAGTCCCCAGAAGCCTCATAAACTCTCTTGCCGAGGCTGAAGTCTTTAGTCTGAAGTCCCTTATCCGATCTCGAAGTCTGATCTTTCTGTCGTGTGAGAGGGATACAATCGCTGTGTCTGTATTGAAATTTGCTCCCAGGAATATCAGTTCTCTTGAAGGATTCAAGTGACTCTTCTCGTAATTGATGAGCCAACCGAAATGAGATAGAGTGTCTAGGACTAATTGCCTGTGTTGGAATATTGATGCTAGGTCCGGAGCCACTACCAGGATGTCGTCCAGGTAGTGAAACACCGCTACCCCTTCTTTTCTGAGCAAAGCAATGATGGTGACCAGAACCTTCGAGAAGGTCCTCGGGGCCGTACTTATACCAAAAGGAAGGGCCTGAAATTGAAAGTGTTCCTTCCGGACACAAAACCTGAGAAACCTTTGATGGGTGAACGTGATAGGGACATGAAAATATGCATCCCTGAGGTCTACTGATATCATCCAATCTTGGTGATGAACAACCGGAATGATGGAGCGAATGGATTCCATCCGAAATTTTCTGACTCTCAGATAAAGGTTGAGCTGGTGGAGATCTAAAATAGGCCTCCATTTTCCCTCTGGCTTCTTGACCAAGAACAGGGGGGAATAATATCCCTGGAATCTTTCTTTTATGGGTACAGGTATGATGGCTTCTTCCGTAAGAAGATTGTTGACATAAAGAGTCAAAACCTCTCTTTTTTGGATGTTGGCTGGAAGCCTTGTGCGAATAAACCTTGGTGGAGGTGGATATTCGTCGAATTCCAGATGATAACCTCCGGTGATAATGGATCTTACCCAAGCATCTGGAATTATTTCCCAGGCCCTCTGAAAGAATGAAAGACGTGCTCCCACTCGAGGAACCTGGAGTAAGCCACCTTCAGAATTGCTTGTTGGGGCGAAAGGAAGAGGTCTGCGTCTTGCCCCTAGAGGATTTCCCATTCAGGCCGCTCTTCCAATTGGAATTCCTTGAGAATTCTCTACCTGGCCTGTAAGTCTTACTTTCCCTAAAGTAGCCTTGATCCCTAAAAGGTCTACGGTCCAGACGAGGTCTCTTTGGACGCCTATCTTGTGGCAGCATGACCTGTTTAACCTCAGCCGCCTTTTTAATCGCTTCATCCAGAGGTTTCCCAAAAAGCACTTCTCCCATAAAGGGAAGTGAGCATAAATTATTCTTGGATGACAGGTCTGCTCCCCAGGATCTCAGCCAAAGCGCCCTTCTAGCGGTGACTGAATGTGCCATAACCTTAGAAAGAATTCTAATGAGGTCAGTGGAGGATTCCAAAAGCCAGTCACTGGCGAGTTTGATATCCCTTAAGGATTCCGCCATCTGACGTCTACTGACCCCTTTATCTATGTCATCCTCCAAGTCAAGCAACCAGGAACGCATGGCTCTAGACAAAGCCGAAATGGACACAGCTGGATGGCAACCTAAACCCGCTGTCATGAAAGCTTTAGATAAATCAGCATCAATCCTTTTATCCATGGGCTCCTTAAGGGAAGCATTGCTATCAATTGGTAGCGTGGATCTTTTAGCAACCTTAATGATAGGAGCATCAACTTTGGGGACCGTAGTCCACAATCTGGAATCCTCCTCTTTAATCGGATATAACTTCGAAAGCCGACCCTGACTAGTAATCCTCTTACTAGGAATTTGCCACTCGTTCCTCATCAGGTCTTTAATAGAGCTGTGGACTGGAAAGGAAGGTCTTTTCTTATGTAAATCTCCAAAGTGTCTGTCAGAAGCTGAACATTCTCTGGTTTCTTCCGGCAAATCCAATGTTCTTCTAACAGCCATAATCAAATGCTCCATAGCTTTGGAGTCCAAGGAGCAAGGTTGTTCCATATACTCCTCTTCACTGGACGAGATTGGCTCCAAATCCAGGTAAGATGAAGTTTGTCTGTATTCATCGTCAGACTGATCTGAATCCATGCTGAAGTTTTCCCCTCTTGATCTCTTAATCTTGTGGGATTCAGCAATTCCTTCAACCACTGCCTGCTTAATCCAATAAGCAATATCCTTGGCTGAGGAGGTAGAGGCTTGCGGTGACCTCTGGCGATCAGATTCTCCTGCGGCCATGTTTAAGCATTTTCTGCAGAGCCTGCAGTTATCCAAAGGCCTTGCTCCACATCCAGGGCAGGCTGCCGGCTTCTCCCTTCTCCTCGATGGGGATCTGGGACAGGACCGGTCACGAGGGCTGTAAGATACAGAAGTCATAAAACTGTACCCTCTGTGCACTCTTTTTAGTAACGTGAAGAAACCAAGAAAAAATATTGCTCACCTATGACCTATAGCAGATCTCGTTGATCTTGCAGAAGGGGATGAAGGATCCATACTGACTGTAGGGCTAAGAATGTTAAAATAATAAGAAAAGTATTCCCAGCCCAATATTATGCTGATTTTAAAATATAAGTAATTCTCTTACCTGCAGAGCTTTAAGAACAGTCTACTAGAGCACTGTATCTTTAAAGGGAACGGACACGAGCGTTTTTTAAGCTAAATACCGCCATTTCAAATTTCCCGCTCTGTACCTTTAAATGATCGCGCATGCGCACTTCGGTCGCGAGATCGCTAAACCGCCATTTTGGAAAGGGGCAAACTTCACTCTGGGTCCGGTCGGATGCATTGCGCATGCGTCTTACCGTTATGCTGATCGTCTGATCGAGGTCTGCAGCACACACTGGACTGCAGAGGATTCCCATAGCCTGTGGAACTAACCACCCAGGCTCCCAGGGGTTCCCAACTCCATGGAGATTGGGCTACATGTGCCTGGGCTTCCTGAGGAGGGAGGCTGACCTCCAAAGGGACAAGACCATATAAAACATGGTCAGGTGAGCAAAAAATAAAAAATAATTCAGAAGAAACTGAAAAAAGAAAAAAAATATTTAAACTGTCCTAGGGCTAGGAGGACAGGAAAAGACTGAGGTATGGGGGATACTGGGGTACCTAATATACTAGGGGAAGGTAGGCTTAATTGTTTAATTGATTGTGTTTCCTGTCCTGAGGGTTGGAGGGAGGAGCTAAACCCATATGTTAAATGCTGCCATGATTAGCCAGGAAAACAAATTTGCAGTGATGTTATTACCACAAAGGATTCTGGGTGGGCATATGCAAATTAGTTGAACAAAGAATCACATTTTTGCCTAATTCCATTTTATACATGGATTCCTTTGAATTTGTTTTTGCTGTATACAACAGCTTTGAAGCACAACTTAGGAAAAGATGCAAAGCCAGTGAACCACTCATGGACAGCTGTTTCATTGTTAATGCAAGTCATCAGCATGAACTAATTTGCATATGCCCATCCAGAATCCTTTGCGGTAGCAACATCACTGCAAATTTGTGATTTCTGTGGGAAAAGCCTTATGGCTTGACTGGTGTCTTCGTTTAACATTGTATTGACTATTCACTGACTTCAGGTGGAAGGGGTTTTCAATCACAATTTTTCCCCACCATGACTGTTTTGGCTTTTGAGATATATATATATATATATATATATATATATATATATATTTACACACAGTTAGGTCCTAAAGTCCTAAAATATTTGGACACTGACAAGTGTTGATATTTTGTCCGTTTACCAAATTAAATTCAAGTAACAGTTTAATAATGAATATGGGCTTAAAGTGCAGTCTCTCTCAGCTTTAATTTTTAGAATATTCACATCCAAAATTGGAGGAAGGGTTTAGGAATTGCAGCTCTTTATATGTAGCCCCCTCTTTCCCAAGGGACCAAACGTAATTGGACAATTGATTAAGAAACTGTTTCATGGACAGGTGTGGGCTATTCCTTTGTTATTTCTGGAGTTGATTGCACTCACCTGAACATGCATAAATGGGGGTGCTGCTAGGGGCCAAATTATACACTGCTCAAAAAAATAAAGGGAACACAGTGGCTGGATTAACCCTAATATAAACATAGCAGTTTCTCTGAAACTGCTATGTTTATAGAAAAAGGGTTAATCCTAGCTGGACCAGGAACCCAGACCACTTCATTAAGCGGAAGTGGTCTGGGTGCCTATAGTGGTCCTTTAACCCCTTAAGGACACATGACATGTGTGACATGTCATGATTCCCTTTTATTCCAGACGTTTGGTCCTTAAGGGGTTAAACAACACAATGTAACTCCAAGTCAATCACACTTCTGTGAAATCAAACTGTCCACTTAGGAAGCAACACTGAGTGACAATCAATTTCACATGCTGTTGTGCAAATGGGATAGACAACAGGTGGAAATTATAGGCAATTAGCAAGACATCCTCAATAAAGGAGTGGTTCTGCAGGTGGTGACCACAGACCACTTCTCAGTTCCTATGCTTCCTGGCTGATGTTTTGGTCACTTTTGAATGCTGGCAGTGCTTTCACTCTAGTGGTAGCATGAGACGGAGTCTACAACCCACACAAGTGGCTCAGGTAGTGAAGCTCATCTAGGATGGCACATCAATGCGAGCTGTGGCAAGAAGGTTTGCTGTGTCTGTCAGCGTAGTGTCCAGAGCATGGAGGTGCTACCAGGAGACGTGGAGGAGGCCGTAGGAGGGCAACAACCCAGCAGCAGGACCACTAGTCCGCTACCACCGCCTTTGTGCAAGGAGGAACAGGAGGACCACTGCCAGAGCCCTGCAAAATGACCTCCAGCAGGCCACAAATGTGCATGTGTCTGCTCAAATGGTCAGAAACAGACTCCATGAGGCTGGTATGAGGGTCCGATGTCCACAGGTGGGGGTTGTGCTTACAGCCCAACACAGTGCAGGACGTTTGGCATTTGCCAGAGAACACCAAGATTGGCAAATTCGCCACTGGAACCCTGTGCTCTTCACAGATGAAAGCAGGTTCACACTGAGCACATGACAGATGTGACAGAGTCTGGAGATGCCGTGGAGAACATTCTGCTGCCTGCAACATCCTCCAGCATGACCGGTTTGGCAGTGGGTCAGTAATGGTGTGGGGTAGCATTTCTTTGGGGGGGCCGCACAGCCCTCCATGTGCTCGCCAGAGGTAGCCTGACTGCCATTAGGTACCGAGATAAGATCCTCAGACCCCTTGTGAGACCATATGTTGGTACAGTTGGCCCTAATGCAAGACAATGCTAAACCTCATGTGGCTGGAGTGTGTCAGCAGTTCCTGCAAAACGAAGGCATTGATGCTATGGACTGGCCCGCCCGTTCCCCAGACCTGAATCCAATTGAGCACATCTGGGACATCATGTCTCGCTCCATTCACCACACACTGTCCAGGAGTTGGCAGTTGCTCTAGTCTATGTCTGGGAGGAGATCCCTCAGGAGACCATCGGCCACCTCATCAGGAGCATGCAAAGGTGTTGTGTGGAGGCCACACACACTACTGAGCCTCATTTTGTCTTGTTTTAAGGACATTACATCAATGTTGGATCAGCCTGTAGTGTGTTTTTCCACTTTCATTTTGAGTGTGACTCCAAATCCAGACCTCCATGGGTTGAAAAATTTGATTTCCATTTTTTTAATTTGTGTGATTTTGTTGTCAGTACATTAAACCATGTAAAGAACAAAGTATTTCAGAAAAATATTTAATTTATTCAGATCTAGGATGTCTTATTTTTGTGTTCCCTTTATTTTTTTGAGCAGTGTACAATACACAAGATCCAGCGCACTCACCTATCCACTAAATAGCAACTTCAATATTGGAAAATTTTATTTGGTTTTTTAAAAACACCTAATCTAGGCAAAAATAACGGGGTTTTGTTACATTATATGATCCTACATTGCATAAGCCTGCCACAACATCAATGTACCCCATCTTTGGCAGACCCTACACTGTCACAGGTGCTTTTCCCCAGGGCCCTATTTAGCCTTGTACTGCAGAGAGCCCCAGATGGAAATTGTCCCCCAAGTAAGTGGGTTAATCTCATAAGAGCTGACATTAGGCTGTTAGTGTAGGGTCTGCCAAAGATGGGGTACATTGACGTTGTGGCAGGCTTATGCAATGTATGATCATATAATGTAACTAAACCCCCATTATGTTTGCCTAGATTAGGTGTTTTTAAAAAACCAAATAAAATCTTTCAACATTGAAGTTGCTGTTTAGTGGATAGGTGAGTGCGCTGGATCTTGTGTTTTCCTGGCACTGCAGGACCCCTCTCCCTCCCACCCCCATCCCTTGTTCCTTTGGCACTGGGTCAGGGTCTGCCCACGCTCATTAGACCTCCCCTTAGGAAAGCATTGAAAAATGCTTTCATGCTTTCCTATGGGGATTTCAGCAACGCTGGAGGTCGATGCTATAGCACACTTTTCGTGTTCTATGAACCAGGAAGTGCCCTCTAGTGGCTGTCTAGTAGACAGCCACTGGGGGAGGAGTTAACCCTGCAAGGTAAATATTGCAGTTTATTAAAAAAAACTGCAATAATTACAGTTGCAGGGTTAAGGGTACTGCAGAAGTGGTCTGGGTGCCTGTAGTGTCCCTTTAAGTGCACATTCACGAATTCAAGGCGCCCTCTACTGACCAAGTAGAGTACTGGCAGGGCAGGCGGAGAGCGTCACCCCTTCATGGACGCCATCTTTACTACTGGCGCCATGATACCCATGATGACAGAATAGTACAGTCGGCGACACGGTAAGCTAGTAAACCGCACCCAATGCCGCAAAACACACGCACACCTTGCGTGCCTAGCAGTATCTACGTATAAGCTGTGCGCAAGTGCTCAATTACCAACACGGACATTGAAAATGGAGTGACTTGCGCCGTCTTACGTCATATAGACTGCGCGCGCGTCCCCGAGCGCAGGGAGGAGGGAAACGATGACGTCACGGAGGAAGCGCGCGCGGAGCAGGGAGCCTGTCATGGCGGGTGGCGGGAAAAGGAAACTGCGAGCCGGGCAGCAGGTGAGGAGCTCCCCGGGGAGGGTGCGTGACGTCACCACTACGGCATATCCCAGCGGTGACATCATCACTCCCCCCCCGGGCCACGCACTATACGGAGAATCCTCAGTGAATTTATAATTTATAATCGGATTGGAATCATACTGGGAGACACTGTATGGGGGAGGGGGGGGGTCACTATATACTATCACAGGGTCTGAGAGGGAGATACTGTATGGGGTCACTTTATACTATCACAGGGTCTGAGAGAGAGACACTGTATGGGGGAGTCACTATATACTATCACTGGGTCTGAGAGAGAGACACTGTATGGGGGGGTCACTATATACTATCACAGGGTCTGAGAGAGAGACACTGTATGGGGGGGTCACTATATACTATCACTGGGTCTGAGAGAGAGACACTGTATGGGGGGGTCACTATATACTATCACAGGGTCTGAGAGAGAGACACTGTATGGGGGGGGTCACTATATACTATCACTGGGTCTGAGAGGGAGACACTGTATGGGGGGTCACTATATACTATCACAGGATCTGAGAGGGAGACACTGTATGGGGGGTCACTATATACTATCACAGAGTCTGAGAGAGAGACACTGTATGGGGGGGTCACTATATACTATCAGGATCTGAGAGGGAGACACAGTATGGGGGGTCACTATATACTATCACAGGGTCTGAGAGAGAGACACTGTATGGGGGTCACTATATACTATCACAGGGTCTGAGAGGGAGACACTGTATGGGGGGGTCACTATATACTATCACAGGGTCTGAGAGGGTGACACTGTATGGGGGTCACTATATACTATCACAGGGTCTGAGAGAGAGACACTGTATGGGGGTCACTATATACTATCACAGGGTCTGAGAGGGAGACACTGTATGGGGGGGTCACTATATACTATCACAGGGTCTGAGAGGGTGACACTGTATGGGGGTCACTATATACTATCACAGGGTCTGAGAGGGAGACACTGTATGGGGGGGTCACTATATACTATCACTGGGTCTGAGTGGGAGATACTGTATGGGGGGGGGGGTGTCACTATATAATCTCACATGGTCTGAGAGGGAGAGACTGTATAGGGGCACTAAATACTATCACATGCAGGGAGGGGAAGCTATGATCACCTGTCACTATATACTATCTCAGGCATGCCCCTGTTACCAGTTCTGGAAGGGCAAGACATGCCCACCATGCTCTCCTGGTCACATTTAATTTGTATGATAATGATGGGCAGCACATGAAAGCTGTGCAAAACACTCTTGGAAAGAAATCACTTTATTAAAGGCATACTCCAGGCACCCAGACCACTTCTGCCCATTGGAGTGGTCTGGGTGCCAACTCCCACTACTCTTGACCCTGCAAGTGTAATTATTGCAGTTTTCATAAACTGCAATATATACATTGCGGGGTTAAGTCCTCCTCTAGGGGCTGTTTACTAGTCAGCCACTAGAGAATACTTCGTGTTCATTGGTTTAAATGGACTTTGGACATACTCGCGCTATGTGAGGACCTCCAGCCTCGCCAAAATCCTCATAGGAAAGCCTTGTATAATGCTTTCCTATGGGGAGGTCTAATGCATGTGCACATTAGGTCTCCCCCACCGACGGCCGCGCGTTAGGTCTCTGGCGGGGGAAGAGCTTAGGCAGAGCCTGACCCAGCGCCGAGGGACATCGGTGCTGTACTCCAGTAAGTCCATAAAGGGGTTTTAATCCCTTCAGCAATTTGGGATTGGGAGGTGGGAGGGAGAGGGGCACTAGAGGGTCCTGCAGTGCCAGGAAAACAAATGTTTTCCTGTCACTGGATAATCCCTTTAAAGCAAGAAGGAGCAGTGTTAAAGGACTATTCTGGGCCTTAAAGGTACACTATAGTCACCAGAAAAACTACAGCTTAATGTAGTTGTTCTGGTGAGTATAGCCCTTCTCTCCAGGCTTTTTGCTCTAAACTGTTTACAGTGTTGCTTGGTTACACCTCTAGTGACAGTCACTTAGCCTCTAGAGGTTCTTGCTGTGCAGCACTGACGTTTAGTGTCTCCAAACCCTGCAAGGAGGCACTCAGCGGTCCCCATAGAGATGCTGACTAATCTGGACAGGGTTGATTAGTTGTGATTGCCAGGGACATGTTAACCCAGCAATCTCAGCCTATCAAATCAATGTCATCCAGGTTGCCCCTTTTTAATTCTCACAGCAGCATTGTTTATTTTATCCAACCTCAAAGACCGTGATAGACTGTCCTCAGGTTAGTAAAACTTGTGGCAGCAATTTTTTTAATTTAAACTGGTAAATAGAATTAATCCCTATAGCAGAGGAAGGAAACCTTCAGCACTCCAGATGTTATAGACTAGATTTCTCCTGATGCTTTGCTAGCATAATGGCTGTAAGAGATTTCTGGGTTATGTAGTCCACAACATTTGGCGTGCTGAAGGTTGCCTTCCCCTTCCCTATGCTAATAACATCTGCATCATTCACAGTTTTATGAGTAAAGATGGCAGCCGTGATGTGACTTTTTAGAGTGAGTTGTGAAGGAAACTTTAGGGAGGTCAGGATTTGTATGCAGTGTTCATGCCTTACAACTGTTTGGTCATAAAGTGTTGCATCCTCCTGGGGTTTCACTGCGGGGAAGGATTGATGCTGAAGCTATTTTTGCTGATTGTTGCCTTTATAGGAACCTCTTAGCACCCTAATCTATTTAATAATCTTGTGTTGTACTTGGAATTACACATTATTTGACTGGGGGAAAAATTCATTTAGCAAATGGCCTTTGCTGTAAAAGGGGCCAGTAGCCAATTATATATATTTTGTACATTTATTATAACTTTGTTTCTAATCCATGTAATGTATGGGTATGTATGAAATATATGTATTTTTGTAGAGTGAAGATACCTTGAAGAATGATGTCAAGAAAAGACGCTCTGGCCAAGCAGATGTACCACATGATGTGCGGCAAGAGGTGGAAAGTCTTTATCGACTTACCATGCCAGAGGATTTCTACCATTTCTGGGCTTTTTGTGCAGAAATTGACCCAGAAGCACCTTGTGGTAAAGCTTAATTATTTTTACTGTCTTCTGAAAAAATCTATAGAGTGCTAGTGTGTGGACCCCCACAGGCTGCATTTTAATATAATGCATTAAAGAAATGTTACTTTTTGCATCATGTATTGTGCAGAAATTGCAGAATGCTTTTCATGCCATTCCTTTGCTCAGACTTTTTATTCTTGCAAAAAACAGGTTTTCCTATAAGCACCTACACAAGAAAATGTAAACACACATTACATCTACAAACAGTAGCACTTAAAAAGCATCAACCTATTATGCATTGATATTGGTGGACAACACATACAGTATACAGACATCGAAAGAAACTGAACCTTACTGAGCTGATATCTAGCATCTCAATAAAAACAGAGAATGTGAGTACTCTGAGAGCAAGGAAAAGCTGAGACAAACTGCAATAATTTGCTTTTCGGTTAGTCCCCACTATCGTTTTGGCTTTCTTTGGGCCATGTCAGTGAGTTTTCGAAAAGCCAGACTTTACAGTATACAGAGTTCAGAAGTTGACACTGGACCCCTCTCATGAGTTGTGATCTAGCATTCACAAAATATTAATGCAAACTAGTTTGATAGGCCAGTACAAAGAGTTGTAAGTATTTGAGATGAACTCTAATGTTGTGAATATAATCCTGGGAAGTGGCAATTACAAAGTCTCGAAAGGCAAGTGCCAATTTCCAGTTATGTTTAGATTGCCAAAAAGTGTTTCCGGCTCTCGCTGAACTGTAGTGGAGGTAGGAGTGATGCCCAGAAGACCCTAGGTAAGATGCTGGGTAGATATTTTTCTTTTTTTTTTTTTTTTTTTTAAAAGCAGAAAGGGTATCTGAGATCAGAAGTTATTTATTTTTAATATCCCCTCCCCTTATTTAACCTAAAGGGATACTATAGTCACCACAAACACTATAGCTGGTCCCAGCAAGCTTTTTAATGTAAGTGCAGCATTACTACCAAGGGACACCTCTAGTGGCAGTCATTTAGAGTCTATATTTTAGACAACCACTAGAGGTGATTCCTAGTCCAGTGTGCAGCATTGGCATTCACTGTCTTCAAACACTGCTTAGAGGCACCGAACGTTCCCCATAGAGACGTATTAATTCAATGCATCTCTATGAGGAGATGCTGATTTGGCGCAGGATGGCGTCTTGCCTCAAATGCGGAATAACCTCACAATGCTTTCCTATGGGACTGCTGTAATTGTCAAACTCTTCTTGCTGTGCTCCTTCGCATGCAGTTTAGTGATGCTAAGGCTGGAGTGACGTCATTTTCCAGTTCCTGGTATCACTACATAGCGTGCAGAACAGCAGGAACTGCAGCAAAGTTACTGCTCCCTCATTGCCTCCACGCACAGTCGGCCGGCCAAATCTGCAGAATGACCTGGCTCCTGGACTTTGTCTCGCTCTGGTATAATAGGTAAAGGTGTCTAGTTTGTCTCATCTTTTATGTAAGTAGGTGGCACCATATTGGCAAATTTGATGGTATTACCTGGCACCCTCTTCCTCCCCATTGTAAAGAGTTCATACCAGGGGCTGCTCCCCACCTGTGTTAAAGCTAATTGAGAGCGAGAAACTCTTGGACTTAGCTTAGTGAAAAGTGTTTTCAGCTCTCGCTGAACTGTAGTGGAGGTAGGGAGTGATGCCCAGAAGACTCTAGGTAAGATGCTTAACTATTCTAAAATGGTTTGACATCTTATCATGGGGGGCACATGAGGCACTATAGCTGCTACAGCGTCCTCTAATGATTAGGGATCGACCGATTATCGGTTTTACTGATATTATTTTCCGATATTCGGTATTTTCGGCAATATCGGTATCGGCTAATTCAGATACCGATATTGCAGATAATATATAACAGGACCGCCGGGCCTGGGAGGTGAGTAAATGCTTGCTGCCAGCCCCCTCACAGCTCAGCCAATGCCACTGGACCACCAGGGACTGCTATACCCCCCCAGCCAGGTAACAAGCAGGAAGGGGGGACAACAAAAATCAAAATATAAAAAATAGTAATTTAATAAAAAAATGCCCCCTCACACACACACTCCATTATATACACATACACTACACAAACACACTATGTGTATATAATGCAGTGTGTTTGTATAGTGTGTGTGTGTGTGTGTGTGTGTGTGTATAATGCAGTGTGTTTGTATAGTTAGTGTGTTTGTATAGTGTGTGTGTGTGTGTGTGTATATAATGCAGTGTTTTTATTGTGTGTGTATATAATGCAGTGTGTTTGTATTGTGTGTGTGTGTGTGTGTGTATATAATGCAGTGTGTTTGTATAGTGTGTGTGTGTGTGTATATAATGCAGTGTGTTTGTATAGTGTGTGTGTGTATATAATGCAGTGTTTGTATAGTGTGTGTGTATATAATGCAGTGTGTTTGCATTATATACACACACTATACAAACACACTGCATTATATACACACACTGTATAGTGTGTATATAATGCAGTGTGTATAGTGTGTGTCTATATAATGCAGCGTGTTTGCATTATATACACACTATACAAACACACTGCATTATATAAACACACTATACAGTGTGTGTTTGTATAGTGTGTGTTTGTATAGTGTGTGGTGTGTGTATAGTGTGTCTGTATGTATAATGCAGTGTGTTTGTATTGTGTGTGTGTGTGTGTGTATAATGCACACTACACAAACACACTGCATTATATACAGTGTTTTTGTAGTGTTTATATACAGTGTTTGTGTAGTGTGCATTATATACACACACTACACAAACACTGTGTATATAATGCAGTGTTTGTGTAGTGTGCATTGGACCACCAGGGACTGCTTGTATAGTGTGTGTGTTTGTATAGTGTGTTTGTATAGTGTGTGTGTGTATAGTGTGTGTGTATAATGCAGTGTTTGTATAGTGTGTGTGTGTGTATGATGCAGTGTGTTTGTATAGTGTGTGTATAATGCAGTGTGTTTGTATAGTGTGTGTTTGTATAGTGTGTGTTTGTATAGTGTGTGTGTGTATAGTGTGTGTGTGTGTGTGTGTGTGTGTATAGTGTGTGTGTGTATAGTGTGTGTGTGTGTGTGTAATGCAGTGTGTTTGTATAGTGTGTGTGTGTGTATAATGCAGTGTGTTTGTATAGTGTGTGTGTGTGTGTGTGTGTATAATGCACACTACACACACTGCATTATATACAGTGTGTGTAGTGTTTATATACACAGTGTGTTTGTGTAGTGTTTATATACAGTGTGTTTGTGTAGTGTTTATATATACAGTGTGTTTGTGTAGTGTGCATTATATACACACACACACACTACACAAACACTGTATATAATGTAGTGTGCATTATACACAATATATATATACACTATATAGTGTGTGTATAATGCACACTACACAAACACTGCATTATATACAGTGTTTGTGTAGTGTGCATTATATAAACACACTGCATTATATACACACTATATAAACACACTGTGTATATAATGCAGTGTTTGTGTAGTGTGCATTGGACCACCAGGGACTGCTATGCCCCCCCCCCCCGGCCAGGTAACAAGCAGGAAGGGGGGGACAACAAAAATCAAAATATAAAAAATAATAGTAATTTTAATTAAAAAAATGCCCCCTCACACACACACTCCATTATATACACATACACTATACAAACACACTGTGTGTATATAATAGTGTGTTTGTATAGTGTAGGTATATAATGCAGTGTGTTTGTATAGTGTAGGTATATAATGCAGTGTGTTTGTATAGTGTGTGTGTAATGCAGTGTGTTTGTATAGTGTGTGTGTGTGTGTGTGTGTATATATAATGCAGTGTGTTTGTATAGTGTGTGTGTGTGTATATATAATGCAGTGTGTTTGCATTATATACACACACTATACAAACACACACTATACACACACTGCATTATATGCACACACACACTATACAGTGTGTTTGTATAGTGTGTGTATAATGCAGTGTGTTTGTATAGTGTGTGTGTGTATAATGCAGTGTGTTTGTATAGTGTGTGTGTATAATGCAGTGTGTTTGTATAGTGTGTGTGTATAATGCAGTGTGTTTGTATAGTGTGTGTGTGTATAATGCAGTGTTTGTATAGTGTGTGTGTGTGTGTAATGCAGTGTGTTTGTATAGTGTGTGTGTGTGTGTGTATATATAATGCAGTGTGTTTGCATTATATACACACACTATACAAACACCATTATATAGACACACACACTATACACACACTGCATTATATACACACACACACACACACACTATACAGTGTGTTTGTATAGTGTGTGTGTGTGTGTGTGTGTATAATGCAGTGTTTGTATAGTGTGTGTGTATAATGCAGTGTTTGTATAGTGTGTATAATGCAGTGTTTGTATAGTGTGTATAATGCAGTGTGTTTGTATAGTGTGTATAATGCAGTGTGTTTGTATAGTGTGTATAATGCAGTGTGTTTGTATAGTGTGTATAATGCAGTGTGTTTGTATAGTGTGTGTGTGTATAGTGTTTGTATAGTGTGTGTGTGTATAGTGTTTGTATAGTGTGTGTGTGTGTATAGTGTTTGTATAGTGTGTAATGCAGTGTGTTTGTATAGTGTGTAATGCAGTGTGTTTGTATAGTGTGTGTGTGTGTGTGTGTAATGCAGTGTTTGTATAGTGTGTGTGTGTGTGTATATATAATGCAGTGTGTTTGCATTATATACACACACTATACAAACACACCATTATATAGACACACACACTATACACACACTGCATTATATACACACACACACTATACAGTGTGTTTGTATAGTGTGTGTGTGTGTATAATGCAGTGTTTGTATAGTGTGTGTGTGTGTGTATAATGCAGTGTGTTTGTATAGTGTGTGTGTATAATGCAGTGTTTGTATAGTGTGTGTGTATAATGCAGTGTGTTTGTATAGTGTGTGTGTATAATGCAGTGTGTTTGTATAGTGTGTGTGTGTATAATGCAGTGTGTTTGTATAGTGTGTGTGTGTGTGTATAATGCAGTGTGTTTGTATAGTGTGTGTGTGTATAATGCAGTGTGTTTGTATAGTGTGTGTGTATAATGCAGTGTGTTTGTATAGTGTGTATAATGCAGTGTGTTTGTAATGCAGTGTTTGTATAGTGTGTTTGTATAGTGTGTGTAATGCAGTGTTTGTATAGTGTGTGTGTGTGTGTGTGTAATGCAGTGTTTGTATAGTGTGTGTGTGTAATGCAGTGTTTGTATAGTGTGTGTGTGTAATGCAGTGTTTGTATAGTGTGTGTGTGTAATGCAGTGTTTGTATAGTGTGTGTGTATAATGCAGTGTGTTTGTATAGTGTGTGTATAATGCAGTGTGTGTGTGTGTGTATAATGCAGTGTGTGTGTATAATGCAGTGTGTGTGTATAATGCAGTGTGTGTGTGTGTATAATGCAGTGTGTGTGTGTGTATAATGCAGTGTGTGTGTATAATGCAGTGTGTGTGTGTATAATGCAGTGTGTATAATGCAGTGTGTATAATGCAGTGTGTATAATGCAGTGTGTATAATGCAGTGTGTATAATGCAGTGTGTATAATGCAGTGTGTGTGTGTATAATGCAGTGTGTGTGTGTGCAGTGTGTGTGTGTGCAGTGTGTGTGTGTGCAGTGTGTGTGTGTGCAGTGTGTGTGTGTATAATGCAGTGTGTTTGTGTAGTGTGTGTGTATAATGTAGTGTGTGTATAATGCACACTACACAAACACACTGCATTATATACACAGTGTGTTTGTGTAGTGTTTATATACAGTGTGTTTGTGTAGTGTGCATTATATACACTACACTAATACACACTGCATCCACTACACACTAGACAAATATACACACAAACACACACTGCATCCACTACACACACCGCTCCCCTGTCTAAACACACTGCACCCACTACATGTGGCATGTATATTTTGTGCATTTACCTTTAGAAATAGTTTTTATTTGCCAAAATGGTAAATGTACAGAATATCGGTATCGGCTCTAAAAAAAAAAAAAATCAATATCAGTTGATCCCTAGTAATGATTATGGAGCTAATCTTTTAATTGTATTCATAGTATGTTTTATCATATGCTGTGCTGTTACTAATATAGAAAGGGGCCATTTGGATGCACTGAGTAGGTTCCAGGTAGCAAGATCTGCAGGAATGTTAAGGAATCTGGATGTTTGTGTTCCCTCTTGCTCTTGTTAGTGCTGATTAGTTTGAATATTATTTCATAATTCTTGTCTTTATTTGCTCTTTGTCCAGCCAGCAACCAAGACAGAATATGTATGAGGTGATATTTACCGTTTGATTAATTTAATCTGTCAGATGTCTCTGAAGTGCTCAGGCACAAAACGTATAAGCATCATTGGCTCAGGGCTCCCTCCTATTTGCTTTGTTCCAGCTGAAGTTTTATATGAAAAAATAAAGAATACCAATAAGCACAAAAATAGTTCATTTATGAAGCCTGTCTTCTCACTAAAAGCAGCATGAGTAGGTAATTTCCAGCAATTTTCTAGAAAATCACTAGTGTGGCAATTTTGTATTCTAGCTTTTTTTTTTTTTTCCTTCTAAATAATTTGCTTTTCTTCTCCGTGGATATCATGTGGCATTTTGGTGCCTCCTAACCCTCCCTAATGTCGCAAATTAAATGAAGTTAAGAATGTTGTATTTCCTCTGGTCACTGAAATACCAGTGCTCAGCTAGTAGGCACTCATATTGGTGAGAGCTAGACTGAAGACGAGATTAGGTTAAGCTATATTCCACCTTAATTTTATTTTAGAAGTCTGGTTATGCTTTAGTACTGCTAGTCAGAAATATACCCTCAGTTTGTGCTTTGGGCCTTGTACATATTTTGCTGCTAATTTAAACCCAATTAATTTGTTTTCAGATGCTCTGAAGTCTATCATTGGCCTTCAGCTTGTCGGCCCTTATGATATTCTTTCTAAGAAGCACAAGAAGACTAAGAAGGGAGCTGATATTGACTACAATCTGCACTGGAGGTTTTTTTATGATCCCCCTGAATTCCAGACTGTTCTTGTAGAGGACAACAGAACACAGTTTCATATGGGATACTTCAGGTAAAATGCAAATTACACAGCAACTGGATGGCTTATTTATCCAGCACAAAAAATGTATTAAAGGACCACTATAGTGCCAGGAAAACCTACTCGTTTTCCTATCACTATAGTGCTCTGAGGGTGCCCCCACCCTCAGGGACCACCTCCCACCGGGCTCTGGGGAGAGGAAGGGGTTAAACTTACCTCTTTCTCCAGCGCCGGCTGGGGAGTTCTCCTCCTCTTCGGCTGAATGCGCATGCACGGCAGGAGCCGCGCGCGCATTCAGCCTGTCCATAGGAAAACATTCACAATGCTTTCCTATGGACGCTGGCGTCTTCTCACTATGATTTTCACAGTGAGAAGCACGCAAGCGCCTCTAGAGGCTGTCAAGAGACAGCCACTAGAGGCTGAATTAACCCTAACATAAACATAGCAGTTTCTCTAAAACTGCTATGTTTATATAAAAAAAAGGGTTAACCCTAGCTGGACCTGGCACCCAGACCACTTCATTAAGCTGAAGTGGTCTGGGTGCCTATAGTGGTCCTTTAATATAAGCATTACAAATGTAAGTTCTTAAAGGGACAATATAGTCAACAACTTTTGCTTAATTAAGCAGTTTTGGTGTAAATCTCACTGTTTAATTATCTGCCATTAAATCATGTTGTTTATGCAGCCATAGGCACACCTCCCTGCGTGTGACTTACACAGCCTTCCTAAGCACTTATTGTAAAGAGTCTTATAATGCTTACACTTTCTTTATTGCAAATTGTTTAATTTAGAATTTATTTTCTCCTGCTCTGTTAATAGCTTACTAGACCCTGCAGGAGCCTCCTGTGTGTGAATAAAGTTAAATTTACAGAGCAGGAGATAAACTTTTAATGCAAGTTACAACTGATTGTAAATTAAACCATTTTATTTTCATGCAGGCTGTGTCAGTCACCGCCAGGGGAGGTGTGGCTAGGGCAGCATAAACGGAAACAAAAATGATTTGACTCCTAAAGGAAGGAGAATTGATGGGGCGTGATCTATATACCAAAACTGCTCAATTAACCTAAAGTTGTGGGGGTTTTTTTTTGGGGTTTCTTCTTGGGGTGAAGGGGGACACAACACAGTTTCTATAAAAGCAGCATTCAAACCATGTTTAACATTTTGAAGTAATATTTGATTTTGCAAGCTGGATTGCAACTTTTTGCAGTTATTTATCTTCTGTTGAGGCCAGAATTTTCAGCAGTGTCCGCTACTTGCTTAGAAAAATAATTGAAGTCCAACATCAGCCGCAGGTCCACAGTATAACATCACTCTAATGATTATACTGGCAGAAAAATATATTTGCTGCTTAGATACAATCTTTTATGTTTGCAAATAATCATTTACAGGACATCTGTATCTTGAATATTTTATAACCAGGGACAGTCCTGAAGAGCTACCAGTATTTGTTGGTGCTAATGAAGCAAGTAAAGGATGCCTGGTCTCTCAGCTTGGAGATAATCTGTTTGCTGCAGTAAAGTAAGGTGTTTGGTTTTTTATTTATAAAAAAATTTGTTTAGTTTTTTCCTGTCATCCATTAAATAGATATTGGATTCAAATAAAATAATGCAAAACATATGTGAAAGATATTATTTTCAAAGCTTTGAAGAGGCACTATTTAGTGGCCATTACAGGTATAATTCTCTCTAAACAGGTAGACTACCAATTAAGAGTGTCTCCTTCTGTTTTGTGGCATCTATTTTTATACCATAAAGACTCTGTCCAGCAGGTTTTTACATTGATTTAAAAAAAAAAAAAAAAAAAAAATAGTTTGTCCCAAAAGTTGTTCCACTTATTGCATATTCTGAATGGCACTGTTATCTAAACTCATAACAGCTTCATTATGGCTACAATGAGTTTATATTTAGCTGATTGAGTGAACTGGACTAAGTGTACCAATTGGCAAAGCTATGATCTATGTATGTGCTCAGACCAAGTTGTGCATGTGCCTGCTGAAGCTGGAGAAACTACATATCAGGCAACCCGATTAATAGCGCTGAGGGCAAAGTGCAGGGTCCTCTCTTGATCCACAACTATGCTTTTTATGATGTCATGACTCATTTAACAGAAGACTCCAATGCTGTCAGTTGTGTGTGTGTATATGTATATGCGGCAATGTTTACGTTGCTGTGCTAAACACGCCTCTAGTGGCTGTTCTCCTCACATCTCCTACATGGTGCTTCCGTGACATTCAAAGTCCTCTTAGACATTGAGATGCATCGATTGAAATCCGATTTCTTCATGCATAGACCAGCATTGGAGTTAGCGCAGCTCTTTGAGAAGCATTTGCTGTGCATATGCGTTTAGTCCACAATGCTTCCCTATGAGAGGAGCATTGAAATGGACAAGCCTGATGACATTAGTGGAGGCAGACTGGGCTGCATAGAAGAGGGGGACCCAAGAATCTAAAAGACCCATGTCTAACAAATTGGTGTTTAAAAAAAAAAAAAAAAAAAATGAATCTCATTTTATGGTCTTCCTTAAATGGAATGCAAGGACTGACTTATATTCACTAAAGTGTTAGTTGCCAAGACTCAAAAGTGACTTGCACATTGGCCTAAAATTTTAAATTCACTTATGCATTCAGCTACTTTACTTTTGAAATGTGTTTTTGATATCATGGGATTTCCAATGGGTTTTTTTTTGTTTTTGTTTTTTTTTGTAAATTGTGAATTCTGTTCAATGTGTCTTTTTCAGACAGTTTGCCTCAAAGAAGCTTAAAGAAGCCACAGATAAGGGGACATTGTCTCTTGTGAAACATTTGGTAGAGAAAGTGACTGGTGCAGCAGAAGAGCTGGGGTATAACGTAGACCTAAAATCCCCTGTTATGAAAAAGAGGGACAAAAAAGTATGCTTGCGCTTTTTTCTTAATTTGCTTTACCATTATTTACCATGCATAACTACATTTTACTCTCATATCTACGATATTACCCTCAGGGGGGTGTGTGTGTGTGTGTGTGTGTGTGTGTGTGTATGTATGTATGTATGTATATCAGTTTTAAAGATACATAGCGGAAGCCATGTTACAAAATACTATAGGGGGGATGAAAAACGAATGCGAGTAAAGCAGTAAAAAGTAACTCCTATATCAAAATAAAAGCATAATGGGATGATAATCAGACTATATGAAAGTAACAATACAAGCTTAAATAGTACAGTCATGAGTTACAAAAGCCCACCAGTTGCCAATATCGATAAGTATGGCTGTAATGTCATGGGGCATTAAAATGACATACCATTACTCAGAAAACCAAGTAAATAATGTCTTTTGTATTGTATTTCTCACTTGACCTTTCCTTTCCCTCTTACCTCCCCATGAACATTCCATGTCTATATGAAGTTGTAGTTGTGGTATATATTGCTCACTTAAAATATCATACCATTTATTTTAACCCAGTATAGACACCTTAAAGTGTAACTTATGCTTTTTACGGGACACTTCTTCCCAAAAAATATATATAATTTAGTACAATTTTATATATATCTAACATGCGTATTTTAAACAATACCCCTAATGAAAATATGCATGCTGTTATTGCTGCATTTTATTTACATTAGGAGTATATCTAAAACCACTCTCAAATGTATAAATTTGGAGAAAAACCTATTTAAAAATAGGTTTTTCTCCTATATGCTTCTGAGTTTCTCAGCAGACACTCAATGATGAGGAATTGAGAGACAGGGAGAGTAGAAGAGACATCCAACAGGAGGCCCTCTGCTCTCTAACCATAGCAACCACAGTGCATGCAGTGCTGGTTAGGCAGTATAGGAAATTAGTGATGTGATGTCCCTCTGTTCAGACGCCGGAAATCAAGCCAGTATATTGATGTCATGGAAGAGGTTTGCCCTGCAAAGCGACAAAGATTTGAGTGGGTGCACTTACAGACCAGACGCTTACAGAAGCGTGGGAGCGGAGGACCACGTGTGGTGACAGTCTGCTCTTTTGTGAATATATGCCATTATTTTGTTTTGTTTTCCTTACTGGTTTTAACACTTCTAGTTTAGAGTAAAAACTGCAATTGAAAACTGACAACTGTTCAATTACCCTTTGGTGAGAGAGATGAAAAGGTCTATGAAGTCATATGATTTAAAGGGACACTATAGTCACCAGAACTACAGCTTATTGAATTTTTTTCTGGTGAGTAGAATCATTACCTTCAGGTTTTTTGCTGTAACCACTGTCTTTTCAGAGAAAATGCAGTGTTTACATTACAGCCTAGTGGCCACTCCTCAGCTGTTAGAGATCCTTCCTCGGTCATGGCTGCCTAAAATGGATACAAACATTCAGTCTCTCCTCCCTCTACATGCAGACACTGAACTTTCCTCATAGAGATTCATTAATTCAATTCATCTCTATGAGGAGATGTTGATTGGCCAGGGGTGTGTTTGAATTGTGCTGACTCTGCCCCTGATCTGCCTCCTTGTTAGTCTCAGCCAATCCGATGGGGGAAGCATTGTGTTTGGATCAGGCTACCACTTCTGATGTCAGCAGACGGTTTGTTTTTCTGAGGCAAACAGCATGCAGAGCTACAGCTTCAGGCTTGAATACAAGTAAGATTTTGCTATGTGTAGGGAGGCATGAAGGGCCCAGGGGGTCTAGATGGTGGTTTTAACACTGTAGGGTCAGGAATACATGTTTGTGTTCCTGACCCTATAGTGTTCCTTTAAAGGACCACTATAGTGCCAGGGAAACAAACTCGTTTTCCTGGCACTATAGGGTCTATATGTGTCCCACTCTCGCCAGGCTAAAGGAGGAGGAAGGGTTTAAACTTGCCTTTCTCCAGCACCGGAACTGTTCTCACTGTGATTTTCACAGTGAGAAGTGCCTCTAGCAGCTGTCAATGAGAAGCCACTAGAGGCTGGATTAACCCTATTATAAACATAGCGGTTTCTCTGAAACTGCTATGTTTACAGCAGGCAGGGTTAACCCCAGATGGACCTGGCACCCAGACCACTTCATTGAGCGGATGTGGTCTGGGTGCCTACAGTGGTCCTTTAAGCAAGACACAAAGCTTAATAGTCTGGACTTTATCCACTATGTGATTGTTTCAATGCAGCATGTTGTAGTACAGAGTACAATGCTTGTGTCAGTGTCCAAATACTAATTGGCTGGGAGGTTTAAGTTGTTGAAATAACTTGCGTCTTAAAATACACCTTTGGTGTATTCTGTTTTTATTTATCTATTTTTCAAGCTGATGTCTGACTCTATCAGCTGTCAAATAACAATATGTGACAATTTGGTCTAATATATATCTTCTGGTATGTTTAATGATTTTCCAACAGTGTGAATTTTCAGAATGAGTATACTTTATGAAAAGGTCAAGTGACACTTCCTCAAAGTTGTCCAAAACGAAGAAGTATGACTAACTAGCCTCCACACATTTGGTCTTTCACAACCAAATATCCAACACTGTGATGGAAACCTGTTGAGCTTTGTGGTGTGCAAACATTTGGCTATAACTTGTGGTCCGCTTCTCTATTCCATTCATCACATAGGTTTCCTCCCTTTGTTTTTTTTTAATAGATTACAAAAAATGCCCTGTCCCTGCAAATACACTAGGTCCTAGTGACTAGGACATGACCAAGGGAATTGGGGTTTTCCCTCTCCGAAGTAAACTTTAAAGTTTTTAGAAATGTACTTGCAAGGTTCCTCTTGCAATTTGTGCAAGTGTTGCAGTTACTCAATAAAAATAAATCTCAAACAATTGCATTATAAGTCTGTGGAGATTCTGAAGAACACCCTTTTGTGCATATATTGGCTAACTTCTGGGGATCGTGGAAAAATAAAGCTGTAACTTCCTCGCAGCAGCCATGACAGATTTTATTTTTATTTAATTTTTTCCTCAAAAACCCCCCACAAAAAAACAGGAAGCCTTTTGTAAAAATAAATAATGCTTTAAAGGAACAGTCCCACCCCCAGAACAACTTGAGCTCATTGTAGTTATGTGGGCTGGTGTCCCTATAGGATCCCTATCAACAACAGATTGTGAACTGCTTATCTCAGATTCACTTTGGCGTGTCGTGTATTACATTTATTCATCTTTTTCTTTTTTTCTTCAGAAACAGGAGATTGACACTTCTTCTGTTCTTCAAAATACATATTTTCTCAATTCAGGGTTGGTAATCCTTCTCCTAGTAGGTTCCTTATACAAGAGGTGCAGGTACATAGGTGATGCCTCCTACATTTGCTCTTATGTGGATTTTATTTCATCCATGATTATAGAAGTAGACTTTAAAAGTAGACTAGAAGTAGACTAAAAAATTAAGGATTAAATGCTAAAATAAATTTATGGTTTTAAGATTTTTACATTCATTCTCTTTAACTGCTCTTCTCTTATAATATGTGAATGTAATGTATATTTTGTTTTCAACAGGGCGCAGTCTGAATGTAATGTCCTAAATTAAAATGTGTGTAATTTCTGTCCTTTTTCTTAAGGATAGAGGCAATTGTACAGTGCTGTATATGTACAGGCTTCATGGTATTTTGGAGATTTACAGGGTCAAATAACTGACCCCTTTTAGTTTTTACACATTGAAATTTGCCAGATTGGTTTGCTGGGCCTGTGTTACCTTTGAGGCTGTATGGCAGCCCAGGAATGTCAAATACCCCCATTCATTGCAAAAGTGGACAACACAATGTATTCAAAATGGGTTATATCCAGTCTTTTCTAGTAGCCACATAGTCACAAATCCTAACCAAAATTAGTGTTCATATTTTTTTTATTTTTAGCATTTTTCCACATTAAACCACACTTTCATTGATATTATCACTATTCATTTTACTGCCCTAAAACACTCGTTTGAGTTCAGCAGTCTCAAGTGTACAGCAGTACCCCCTAGGTTGTATGGGGTTTTGGAATGTTACAGGGCCAAATATAGGGCTAGCCAATATGTTATACACACCAGTCGGAGTCATGTGATCATGATGCAGCTGGGCGGGATTGCCTTGGTTATCATCCAGTGCACCCGATTGCAATTGCCGCTGAGGGTTAGTGTGCCGGCTGCTGCTGGGAGGGCCTGATCGTTGGGGTGTGCTATGCTGCTCTAACAGCGTTTTTGTTGGGCAGCATAGCAGGCTCTTCGTCATTAAGGGGTTACTATTATTAAACACGTAAACTGATCACTTTTATGTAATATGTAGTTTTGAAATGACACTTTATTCTTAGTGTATTCTCTTTAATTCAGGTTGTGACAAAATCTTTTCATGGTGCAGGCCTTGTGGTCCCAGTGGATAAGAATGATGTTGGCTACAGGGAGCTTCCTGAAACAGATGGTATGTTTATATTTTGGCATTTTCTCTTATATTGGGAGCAAAATTTGGTGAATACTTTCCTGTTGGGGATTTGAAGATGCCGAGCAAAGAGTGAGGATGTCCAGCGTTGTTTCACAAAGTTAAACTCCATGAAACAGAAGGAAGCACCTCTTGTGGCTGTCTGCTTAACAGCCACTAGAGGCAGTCCTAACGTTGCATTGTAAACATTGCACTTCCTCTAAAGCTACTATGTTGTACATTGCAAGGTTAAGAGAACAGGGACAGGGCATCCAGGCCACTTCAATGAGATTACATGCTCTGGATGCCTATACTGTCTCTTTAAAAGGACACTATAGTCACCATAACCACTACAGCTTCATGTAGTTGCTCTGGTGTCTATAGCCTGTCCCTGCAGGCTTTTCAATGTAAACACTGGTTTACATTTCTGCCTAGTAACACCTCTAGCAGTCATTAAATCAATGCATCTCTGAGGATTGGCGCAGCACGGTTGCGCATTAGCCTCCCAATATTTTCCTATGGGAAAGCGTTGTGTTGGCTGTGACACAGGAAGGGGGTTGAGCCAGCTCCACAGACCCGCACTGGAGTTAAGGTGTATGTGTATGTATGTATGTATATATATATTGCACACACTACAACTGAGGATTTTTCACTGTAGTGTACATTTCTCTCAAAAGCAAACAGCATAGGTCAAATCAAGCATCTGTCACGTATTCATCCGCACATAAAAATGTGGTTAATGACATTTACTGTCCTGACAGCAAAAGTTGTGCCGAGCAGCAATCATGCACATGGAAAGCTGGTAATTGCTTTTGGGGGTCAAAGGCTGGTTATGGCCCATCGGATCCACAGGAGGGCTATTTAAACCCAATTCTCCTTTTGCTCATTGTCCTGTCGTGGTTTCATCCTGATCTTGATTTTCTGGTATTTGACTTTGGCTTCGTTTTGACTTCCCTGAATTCTGGTATCCTTGAATTTTGGCTTTCCCTCATTGTTGTCTGATTCTGTGTTCCTGACCTCGGCAAGTATTTTGATTTATTCTTGGATACGTTAAGTCTGGCCATTCTAAGGTCCGGTTATACGTTCTTCTTAGTCAGATGTGTGACACAGTTCTGCATGTTGGATCAACTTGTAATCCTGACAGCATCTTATCCATTTTTAATCTGGGGTCCATTCATCAAATATGTTTTGAAATGTACACTATAAGCACTAAAATCACTTTAGCATAATGGGGAGATTTTGGTGTACTCACTGATCAATTATCTGCCGTTTAGGAATTAATTCAATTTTGTTTGTGTAGGTTACATGCAAAGGAGATATGGCTGCATAGTCTCAGTATACACTCCCTTTAAAGAAAGATCTAATATTTAATCTTTCTTTACTGCACTGTATAATTAAGTTGGCATTCCTTTTTTCCTGCTCTGTTAATATCCTGCAAGAATCTCCTGTGTGTGATTATAGCTCAGTTAAAAGGAACTCCTATAGGCACCAAGACCACTTCAGCTCATTGAAGTGGTGTGGGTGCATAGTCCAGGTCCCTTAATCATGCAAAGGTAATTATTGCTAATAAACTGTAATTCCCTTTTCGAAGGTTAACACTACCTCTAGTGGCTGTCTAGCAGACAGCCACTAGAGGGGCTTCCGGGTCGTTAGGCGACTTTTGGTCGCCTACCTGACGCTGCACATGGTCACGCTATGCATTAGGGCATCCAGGGTCACCTAAAGCCCATAGGCATTATACAGGCTTTCCTGTGAGGGTAATACTAATGTGAGCGTGCGCATTAGGTCTCCACTGCCAGCTGACTTCAGGGGGGAGGAGCACCAATGGAGCCAGAACCAGTGCCGAGGGACATCGTTGCTGGAACAAGACAAATGACAGAGACAGAAGGGCAGGGGCTGGCTGTGGGGGGGCACTATATTGATAGGGAAACAACTTTGTTTTCTTGGAACTATAGTTTCCCTTTAACATAGGAACTTCTAAAGTAAACAGACTGACCACATACAATTGTGAGAGTCCCAGTCAGGGGAGGTGTGGCTAGGGCAGCATAAACAAAAGTGATTCAATTCTTAAATGTCAGAGAATGAGCAGCATCATACTACAGGGGTATGATGCACACTTTAAAATTGTTTAATCAAAAGGATACTATAGCCAACAAAAAAACTATAGCTTAATGAAGCAGTTTTTGTGTTTAAAAAATAATCATGACCCTGCAATCTCACTGATCAATTTACTGCCATTTAGGAGTTATATCATTTTTGTTTGTTTATGCAGCCCTAGCTACACATTGTTATTGTTTATATAGCGCCAACAAATTCCCCAGCGATTTACAGTGGGTGGACGAACAAACATGTAGTTGTAACCAGACAAGTTGGACACACAGGAACAGAGGGGTTGAGGGCTCTGCTCAATGAGCTTAAATGCTAGAGTGGGGTAAAGTGACACAAAAGGTAAGGATAGTATTAGACTAATGACAGTTGCAAGAGAGGAATCAGTTGGGAGCTATTAACAGTTTAATTGATGCACTTAAATGGTTTCATTTTCAATCAGATATAACTTGGTGTAAAGGTTTTTAGCTCCTGCTCTGTAAATTTAACTTGAATTACATACAGGTGGCTCCTGGAGGGTTTAGCAAGCTATTAACAGAGTAAGAGATGATACATTCTAAATTAAACTTAATTTGCAATAAAGGAAGTGTAAACATTAGATGACTTTCTTTACAGGAAGTGTTAAGGAAGGCTGTGTAAGTGACATGCAGGGAGGTGTGACTAGGAATGTATAAACAAAGCGCTTTAACTCCTAAATGACAGAGAATTGAGCAATGAGACAGCAGTGGCATGATCTATACACCAAAACTGCTTTACTAATCTAAAGTTGTTTTGGTGACTATAGATTCCCTTTAAGCTAAATTTGTTTTGGTGCTTAGAGTATTCCTTTAACTATCCAAGATTATCAGGCCCCGCTATTTATTTTGTTGACCGCAACCTTTTTTTTGTTTTTTGTTTTTAAGGTAACCTCAAACGAATTTGCAAAAATATTGTTGAAGCAGCAAATGATGATGCAAGAATGAAAGCCTTTGCGCCCATTCAGGAGATGTTCACATTTGTTCAGTTTGCAAATGATGAGTGTGACTATGGCATGGGCTATGAACTAGGAATAGACCTCTTCTGTTATGGATCACATGTAAGTGCTTAATCATGTTTGCGCCTATATATTGTAAGAAACACAGATAGTGAATTTTGATATTTTTGAAGATTTAACTGCTTTGGAAACTTTTAAGCACTTCACCATTACAGCTTATTGTAGCGACTACAGTGTTTTTAAGCTGTTTCTGCAAACTTAGATTTAGAGCTGTTGCATTTTCATTATCTTTTATTATTCTTTTTATCTTAATCTTCAGCACCTAGGATCCCTCTCACTCAATAACCTCACATAGGGAAGCCATCAGTCTACTAACACCATGGTAGACTGCAAGTCAGACTATTCCTCCCATCCCCTTTTCAAAAGCTGTATTGTTTGTATGTAGACAGCACTGTTCCTTCTCTACTCAGAGACTAACTTGCACAGTATGAGTATATGAGTAGACAGCATGTTCTCACACCTTACAAGCATTTGGATTGTTCAGTAGGGAAGCAATACCAGTTGGTAGAGGAATGGTGACTTTCTACAGATTAAACAGAGTTAAATTGTTTTTTTCTTTTTTTTTTCTTATTTTTTAGCATTTATGAATTAAAATAAAAAATATGCCCATGTGACTTGGATTTATAACTATTTAATGGTATTATAGTAATATAGTTGCACCTCTTCATAAGTTGACTACTTTATGAATGTAACGAAGTTATAATATAAATATAATCTTTCATCGGATTAGAACTAGCTCCTCGCTAAAATCTGTTTGTTTGTTTTTTGTTTTTTTTGTCTTGAGTGTAACTGTTTAGCAGTGCTAAATTCATTTTAGGATTACCTTAGTATTTTGAGAACCACAACAACACACCTAACTATGGGCACTGGACATGAGCGACCACTTGAACTGTAACTGATCCTCTCCTTCATTGAAATCTCAATGTAGAAGTCAACTGCTTATCCATTGTAAACTCATGTTTTTATGATGACTTGGGCCTGCGAGCCCGAAATGCGTTACACCTATTTACGAATAAAATTGATTTTCCAAAAAAAAAAAGTATTTTGAGAACTTAGCTTGTACAGGTGTGCTTTCAGACATGAATCAGCAGACTCCAGAGAGGAAATCTGGCTTGAGGTTTTTCCACAGCTTCAGTACTGATTGATGTAACCAGATCCCTTATACCAATTTGCACAGGAAATATATTGCATGCTGCAGAATCTCAGACCATTCTTCCCAAGCATCTTGATCATCAGGTCCTGTCCTAACCTTGTTTCCTGGTGTCCTACATTTACAAGGAACTGTACTCAAAAAGTGTAGCTAGAGTGGACCATTACATGCCATCAGGGCACTAGGACCATGCAGAGAGCACCGAGACAGTGTTCATTGCAAGACCTGCTCTCAGTGGGCTGGCCTGCTTGATTGCCAGGCAGCCTGGTGCATTCAGGCCAGACTGACCTGTCACTAATATCAGTAGACCTGTCCATTTCTGGGTGGGTCTGCCCTCTGTGGGTAGTCTGTGACACAATCTTATCACTGGCTTCCTACCTTTATCCCACTTCTTGGCACGCCAATGTTGGGGGTAGGTCAGACTGCTCATTCTATGGGACTACAACTAATTTAAAGGGGGATTTTTAACTATCTTGGATTTTAAATATTGTCAGGGTTATTCAAAAAAGTGAGGCATAGAATCTACAGCGCTACGAAACTTGTTGGCGTCATATAAATAAGAAAATAATACTAATGTGACTGCAGATAAGAACCATTCAGCTCATCTAGTCTGTTCAGTTTTCTAAACACTTTCAATAGTCCCTGGCCTAATCTTTTATTTCGGATAGCCTTATGCCTATCATACGCATGGTTAACCTTGTCAACCTCTACCACTTCAACTGGAAGGCTATTCCATGCATCCACTGCCCTCTCAGTAAAGTAATACATCCTGATATTTTAAAACCTTTGCCCCTCTAATTTAAGACTATTATGGAAAGACCATGTACGCAGTAAAATAGGAGACTTCTAATGCAAAATAACCAAGTTGGGAAAATACTTCAACTTGGCTATGCTTCCAATTTATTTACTTTGGCCATAAATTTTAGATAATTTTTTTTTTTTAATTTGTTTGAAATTCTCTATTAAATGAACAACCCTGTGGGTCTGGTTATCCCAATATTTAACAAATATGTATTTGAGGTTTGAAAGATGAAATTGAATGTAGAAATGCACACTTCTTTATCTACAACGTGACCCCAGTTGTCTTAGCTCCTTGTCAATCTTTATTATAAGCTTTGTCCCAGTGCATATCGTTGGAGAGTGTGGCAACACTGACTGTAGGCCCTGCAAAGATTGCAGGATCTAACACACAGTCCCTATAGAGTCTGAGTGGCAGCCATTTGAGATGTTACTAGGCAGCAATGTAAATGTGATTTAAGCATTTGCATTGCAGAGACAGGCTATAGCCACCAGAACCACTACATTGACCACCTGAATTCAGGTGTAGTGACGTTTTTTGCATTTTTCACACACAAACAGCACTTACAGCACGTGCGATACTTTTTACTGTTTTGAAACACAAATATTTGTGTTCAGCGAAGTTTCCCGAGTACAACAGTACCCCTCATGTACAGGTTTTATGGTGTTTTCAAAAGTTACAGCATCAAACATAAGGCTTGTGTTTCATTTTCACATTAAAATTCGCTAGATTGGTTATGTTGCCTTTGAGACCCTATGGTAGCCCAAGAATGAAAATTACCCCTATGATGGCATACCATTTGCAATAGTAGACAACCCAAGGTATTGCAAACGGGGTATGTCCAGTCTTTTTTAGTAGCCACTTAGTCACAAACACTGGCCAAAATTGGCGTTTTTTGCATTTTTCACACACAAGCAAATACTAACGCTAACTTTGGCCAGTGTTTGTGACCAAATGGCTACTAAAAAAGACTGGACATACCCCATTTGCAATACCTTGGGTTGTCTACTATTGCAAATGGTATGCCATTATGGGTGTAAATTTCATTCCTGGGCTACTATAAAGTCCCAACGGCAACGTAACCAATCTGGCGAATTTCAGTTTCAAATGTAACGTGCTATATTTGACCCTGCAACTTCCCAAAACGCCATAAAACCTGTATATAGGGGGTACTGTTTTACACGTGAGACTTTGCTGAATACAAATGTGTATTTTATTGCAGTAAAAGCAAACAGTATTATGACATTGACAGTTAAAATGTCATGTAGAACTAAAAAAATTTAAAAAAAATTCTAATTTTTTTTTAATATTAAATTGTTTCATAGCTAAATATTTGATATTAAATGAAAGCCCTGTTACCCCTGAATAAAATTATATAATAAGGGTGGGTGCATTTAATATGAAAGAGGTGAATTACGGTTGGACAGACATGTAGCGCAAATGCCAGGTTTTGTTTACATTTTGTTTCGTGTACATTTGTCTCAGTCCTTAAGGGGTTAAACTGTTGGGGAAACTGTTTAACCTCCACAGGTGGTAAACTCCTGCCTGAGTAACTTTATTGAGTTAAATTGTTATGGCTGTGTATTATTTTATTTTTTTTTAATTCTAAAATGTCACAATTATCTAATTTTAACAAATTTATTGTACTTTTTGCAGTACTTTCACAAAATAGCTGGCCAGCTGCTCCCTCTTGCTTACAAACTCTTGAAGAGGAATCTGTTTGCAGAAATAATTGAATCTCATCTCTCAAACCGAAGCAGAGACCAAGTGAATCAGCTTTCTACATAGTAAAGACTGGTTTTCCTAAATTCTATTTACTTTGTACAATATGTTCTTCTTACTTTACCATGCAATAATTCATAAAGATAGTTTTGTATTAAAATGTCAGTTGTGTGTGTTTTTAATTGGTGCAACTGTTTAGTTATCTGGTTTGGATAACCTTACGTTATTTTTCTAGGTACCAATATAAAAAATGCTATTCCCATCCCCTTTTTTACATAAATAATAAAGGGAAAACAAGTTGAAGGTGACTATTCATTGAGGAAACAGATTTAAAGTAAGAATGCACACAAGTGTTGAGGTATATCAAATGGTCTTGTGTTATGTTAAATCTGTGTGTGTCAATCATATGTAGTCAAAGTTTAGGGATAAAGACTTTGATGGTTAATTTCTTCTTCAAATGGTCACTCTAAGCCAGGGGTGCCTAATATGTCAAATACAATCTACTAGTCGATCGCAAAGGCCATGCTGGTAGATCGCAGCTGGCAGCACTTTACCCTGGAGGAGCACGCAACGCACGCCAATGTGCTCCACCTTCCTCCAGTGATTGCTGTCAGTGGAAGGATTCCAGTGTGCGAACGGCACTGCGGCAGTAAATCATTGAGACCAGAGTCAGCACATTGAACCTTCATCAATTGTAAGTGGTGTCTGCTTGCTAAAGTTTTTTTTATTTTTTTTACAAATTTTTTTATGGATGCTATGAGGGGGGGGGAGGGGGTAGGTGCAGTGGTTTTGTGGAAAGGGGTAAGCAGGGGTTTTGGATTTTTTAAATTTTTTTATTATTCAATGCGTTGATATATGCAGTAGTTACAATAAAGATTTTAATGTATTTTATTTTGTAAGAAAACGTGTGTTTTTTTTTTTTTTTTTTAAAGGTACTTCTCGTTGAGCTGGTCATTTTAAAAAAGATTACGACACCCCTATTCTAAGCTATCAAGTATCATTGCATCACTGCATGTGAACTGTCTTGTCAGAATAGTTTATAAAACTAGATCTACAAGTGCTGTGGGAATCTTGTTTATTGCAGAGAAGACAAAAATAACTTCCAAGTTCAAACCTCTTGTGTGGGTCACCTGCAATATCCTATTATCGGATGTGTGCAAAGGAAACCTAAAAAAAACCCCACTAAATCCAATTTGGTCTTTTACATTCTTCATTTTGGAAGTGCAGAGTTGAATTCACACCTTAGTAATGACACATAACCTGAAATAGGGTAACGAACAAGATATGAATAGGCAGGATATGCTGCACTTTCTTTTTAAAATAAACACATGCTAAGTAAACAAGCGTGTGGACTTTTGCAAACAAAATTTGGACCAATACTTGAAGGAAGGTGAAAGTTTCTTTAAAGGAATCATTACTGGTGACGAGACATGGATTCATCACTACGAGCCTGAGAATAAACAGCAGACTTTGGAATGGAAACATCCTCAATCTCCAACCTAGAAAAAGTTCAAAAGTCAACCATCAGCTGAAAAATCGATGCTTACAGTTTTCTGTGATTCTCAAGGGCCAGTATTGGAACACTATCAGGAAAAAGGTTTAACAATCAACATTGCTCGTTAAAGTGCGATACTCCCCGATGAGCCTAAACTTTGGACTAAATGAAGAGGACTGCTATCCAAGGGTATTTTGATCTTGCATGACAATGCATTTCTGCACACCTCTGCCCATGCTGTCAACTTTGTTTTGAGTTATTAAAGCATCCTCCCTATATTCCTGATCTTGCTCCATAGGACATTAAAGTGTTTGATCCCCTGAAAGCAGCCCTACAAGGATGAAGAATCCTCTCTGATGAAAAAGTGATGCATTCGTGGCTTGCAGCTCAGACCAAAACATTTTTAATGAGTGAATTTAAAAAAAAAAAACTTGTTGACAGATGGACAAAGTGTATTGAAAAGCAAGGAAATTATGTTGAAATATGTATGTCTTTTCTTAAAGTTGATTAAAATAAATTCTACAACAGCACGCACCTCGAGGCAGCTCTGCAGGAGTACAACAATATCACTGGCTTTTCCACCATCTCGAGCACCCCGAGTGCAGAAAGGAGCAGCCGGATCCCCAAACCCATGGGGAAGAAAAATAAGCAGCAGTTGGACCCGGGATATATAGGGGCTTTCATGCGAGCAGCCCCGCGGCCAGACACATCCAAGATGGCGCCTAGTGAGGCCTACACCTCTCCCTCATCGGACGAGGATAGCAATTATGCTAATCCTCCTGCCAGGCTGCGCCTAGATCCACAGGCACCCTTGGAGTTGGGAGACTCAGCCCCATCCACAAAAGCTGACATTAAGGCAATAATAGTAGAAATAAAAGCCATGTTCAATGCAGACATGGCACCGGTCCGTGAGGAGATATCCACATTAACCAACCGCATGGGATCTGTGGAAGAAAGCATGGGGGGCACAAAACTAGCGCAATTGGCTACGGATGCTGCACTAGGAGCACTGCAAAAAAAGTGTTCTAACCAGCAGGCACTACTGGCCAGCATGGAAGACAGGGTAAGAGCCCGAAATCTAAGAATAAGTCGGAGACTTATTGCCACATTATTGACGCCCGAGCAAGCCAAGCAACTGACAGTCGACTCCTTCTTTAGACTGGCCAGAGCCGCTACAGCACCCCAAGGTGCACCCAGACACATCCTGAGGAAGCTAGTACGGGACTCTGACAGGGGAGTCCTCATGGGAGCAGCAAGAGGCTCTCCTACGGTGTCCTTTGAAGGGGCACAACTGGCTTTTTACAGGGACTTTTCAAGGCACACCCTCATGTGGCGGAGATCCCTTCGACACATCACCCAGCTGTTAAGAGAGCACTCAATCCCCTACAAATGGGGCCCTCATTGATTGCAAGCTGAGAAATCAGGCAAGGCACATCTCCTCTCTCACCTTATAGAAGCACCAGCATTCCTTCAAAACCTGGGCATTCCAGCAGAGACCGCGATAAGACCAGAACAACCAACTTGGACTGTTGCAGATATCTCTCCCTTTGTTCCAGGAGGTGGATCACCTCGGGCAACTACCTGATGCCATTAGTGGAGGACTCCCCCGGCCCCACACATTCTACCATACTCGCTATGTGTTAGAAATGCTTTACGTCCTTCTATCCTGGTTCCTAAACTAGTTATCCTTCCTTCCACCCCACCCCCCACAAAGCGCGTAACCTCAGATCACTTTAGCTTGTTGCTCTACCAAGTTTGCCATAGTACGCTCAGCATGGGACACAGGCCTTCTGGCTACCTATCTCTCTGCCATTAATACCTCCCTAAGCATTTGAAGGCTACAGAGCTATACTACCACCCACAGTGCCTCCATAAGCCACCCATAAAAACACTAAGACCCTAATGCATAGGCACTTGAAGCCTCATCCCTGCAACCCCCAGACTCGTTTTGCGCCATCCTAGGTTAAACGAGAGAGGGTCCCTCGGTCACTACCTTAACACAAAAATTGAGTGGATGCCTGCAGTCTGTAATACCGTACTTAACTTGTATATGTTTAATTTCTCTGTTCGTGCAAAGCACATGCCATGCTGTGATGATTGCACTCGCAAAAATAACGAATTTTTAAAAAAGAAAATAAATAATTGCTAATTAAGCCCAGAAATTCAAATTGTACAATGTGTCTCAGGGAGCTCCCCAGCGACACATCTAGTTGCCATGATGGGCAGGCCCCGCTCCCTGCAATTTGATGTTTTAAATAGAAAGAAATCAATGTAAACCTTTACATGTAAAAAGAGTTTAGAGTGTAATTTATTCCTCCACTTCTTTTAACACTTCTCTTCTCACACAGATCTGAACTTGACACTACTTGAGTTTCAAGGAGGTGCGCTATATGTTGAGAGTGACATGCCAATGTGCAATGGTATAGGAATATATAGCGATGCATCACACAATATATTGATTAAATTTACAAGCTATAGCTTTCTATGCATATGAAGTCTATGGCTAAAACATTGAGACTGCAGTGGCATGATCTATACACCAAAACTGCTTTATTAAGCTTATGTTGATTTGATGCCAATAGTGTCCCTTTAAGTCCAGCAAGTGAAATATGTAAGATATCTGTGATAGGCATTCTGTATTTCTATTTTACTTGATATAAAGCACTTTTTTTCCTGACAAATTAAAAAAAAAAAAAAATGCTACAGCGAGAGTGCATAATTTTTGACCCACCCTTGTAGTAACCTACATGTCCAGTGTAGGCCTCCCATGCCTCTCTCCTCCATGCTGTTGAGTCAGAGCGATGCTCCAATGTAGAGGTGACTAGACACAGCTGTACCACTAATGTTGCAAGGATGCAAGATTTGTTGCTAATTCTGCCAAAACACCTGGCAGAGCTTATCAAATTTTGCGTCAAATATTTCCCTCCTTTCCAGAACACCTAGGCCTGCTTTGGCCTGTGGAAGTGTTGACACAGTGGCCATCTTGGCTCCACCACGCAATAGTAAATACAGTAGGACTCTGTACTAGGTTGATGGGGACAAAAGCTGCCACAGTGGGGACCACACTGGGAGAGACTAACTGGCTTCAGCTAAGAAATGCATGTCTCATGCTGGGAGGTCGGCACTCCAATAGGTCACAGAGTTGGACGAGGTGAGTACATAATTGAACAGTGGGTTTGGTGTGTTGTGGCTTGACGAGATGTCGGCCTGCCACTAGCATCAGGTGATTTACAGTAATATTTTAGGCTTGATTAACTGAATTTTGGCCTGAATCTGTCAGAGCTAACAAGAAATATGTCCGGCCTACTTGGATGTCAAGCCCTACCCCCCAGGTTTTCTATTTATTTATTTGCAATAAGACAAAGAGAATGGAAGGAGGGTTTTGGGGGAAAGCACTTTTAAAGAATTGATCCCTTTTCAAGATAAAATGTGCAAGGATTGTTTGTGTTGTGTTCCCAAAAGTAGGCATTCCAGTGGCACCATTGTCTTTTAAAAAACAAAAAACAGAGTACCCGAGATTAGACCTGTTCCTAACCTGTTATTTCTACTATACCCTTACCATCAAAAACAGGATATCACTCTGTGTTAAACTACATTATACCATAAAAAATGTGCAGTGTTGTCTAATGCCATACAATTATTAACCTTTGTCTGAGGATATTCTTACTCTAACTGTTGTGGCATTGTAAACTTGTATGTCTTATCTTTGCACAACTAAAATAAAGAATGATTATTTTTTTTTAATCCTATAAGTGACATTGCAGGCTTAAAGACAAAGGGACTAATTTGTCTTTATGTTAAAAAATTTAAAGAAATCCTACCTTGACAAAGAGGTACAGCTACCACCTAACCCCTTAAGGACCAAACTTCTGGAATAAAAGGGAATCATGACATGTCGCACATGTCATGTGTCCTTAAGGGGTTAAAGACTAGAGCTGTTTCTACATTTCTGCAGTGTTTGTAATTTTCCTCTTACTCATTTACTGTACCCACACATATTATATAGTTTTTCTATCCATTAAATGGTCTTTCTAAAGATACCATTATTTTCATCATATCATATCAAATTTACTATAAAGTTTTTTTTTTTTTTTATAAAATATGATAATTTCAAAAAACACATGTTTTTTTAACTCTTACCCCCAAAATCTGATACGCATCTACAACCGCCACAAAACACCCATGCTAAATAGTTTCTAAATTTTGTCCTGAGTTTAGGAATACAACATATTCTTTTTTTTTTTTTATTTTTTTTTTTTTTTTGCAAGTTATAGGGCAAGATGTACAAGTAGCACTTTGCTATTTCCAAACCATTTATTTATTTTTGCAAAATTAACGAAAGGGATCTGTTAGGAATCCCTGAATACCCTTCACATGTATCTCTTTTTTTTAATTTTAATTCTTTATTTTGGTGATTTTTTCAGTTTTTCAAAGAAGTTGGGGTACAGAATGAAGATAAGGGGTGCGGTAGCAAACATTGCAGTTACATTGGAGTGTAATAGCTTAGTACACTGTAGGTTACACAACTTATTTACAGCGATTGTACGTTTGTTCATTTTAGGACCAGAGTGGTCTGCATCTCGGATTTTTACCCTCTTCTTGCTTGGAGAGGTTCTTTTGAATGTGTTGTTGTATGTCCTAGTTTGTGGAGTCGGAGTGGCTTTTGTAGCGTCTATGTCTCCTAGGGTGTGTGAATTTTGTGGTTTGTAGGGTGTACTTTTGTTGGTGTCGTGTGTCTGTGTTTCGTGGGGTGGCAATGGGGGATTTCCGTTTATCCGTTGTGTGGCCCTTCGTCCTCTCTGGTCTTTGTCTGTAGGGTGATGTGTATACGTGCTGTGGGTTAGGTGCTTTTTGATGTCTCAGGTTTTTGTCTTGTCTTCGTTTTTTGCTATGGGGGTTTTGGTGTTTGCTCTTGAAGTCTGGGTTGGGTCGGGGTTCTAGGTCGTGTAGTTGAGATGTGGTGAGTTTCACGCTATGCTGATGGTGGTGTCTTAGTGAGCTTGGGTGGTCATTCATTTGGCCTGGTATGTGGGGGTGGGCTTGGAGGGAATGGGGATATTGATAGGGTGGAGGGAGTAGGCCGGGGTAGGGGAGGTAGGATCCCAGTCAGGGCTGTTTGCTATTTTTTGTGGGGGTGAGTTCAGTTGGGGGGACGTTCGTAGTCCTCCATTCCTCCTTTTAGTTAAGCGGTAGGGGGTGTTGGGTCCATGGGTCCCATATCTTATGGTAGTGTTGTGTCGTGTTGTGTAGCAGTGCCGACAGTTTGTCCATTTCCATGGCTTCATTCATTTTCCTGATTTATAGTGGTTAATTGAGGTGTAGTTTGGTTGCCCCACTGTTCCGCTATCGTGCGTCTTATTGCTAGTGCCATTCTTGCTATCAGTTTGTTTTGGGCTCTGGTAAGGGGGGGTGTGGTTTGGAGAGTAGCAACACTCAGGGGTCCCTGGGTATGTCCACATCAAGTATGTTAGATGCTAGTGTGGTAACTTTTTCCTATATTTGTGGATGTTGGTGCCCTTTTGCCCACAGCCCTTCCAGCATGAGTCCATGGTTGCCCAGCCCATTTGTCTCATTCTGAGGGGTGTGAGGTACCACCTGAGTAGAGTCTTGTATGCCTGCTCCTTGTGATTCACACATATGGTGAGTGAGGGTGTAGCCTCCCATATGTCCAACCAATCTGATGGGTCCTCTGGGGGGCCTATGTCTCTTTCCCACGCCTTCGTGTATGAGAGGGTGTCTTCTGGTGAGTTGGCGTTTAGGAGGAGGTGTATGGTAGAGTTTTGTCCCTTTTGTACGGGTGCGTGTAGGCATGTTTTTTCAAATTGGGTTGGCCCAGCGGTGGCAGCTGCCTTGTTGTGTGGTTCAGTGAGGAAGCTGCGTATCTGGAGGTATCGAAAGTGGTCAAATGTGTTTAGTGGGGTCTGTCTGGGCAGGTCTTGGAAGGATCGGAATTGTTGGCCTTGGAAGAAGTGCAGGAATCTGTATAGCCCATTGTCCTCATATCTCACGAAGTCTCGAGGTGATAGGCCTGGGGGAAATTGATTGTTTCTCAGAATGGGTGTGAGAGGTGATGGTTTCTTAACTATGGGGTTCTTAGAGATTGTGGTGTCCCAGATGTGAAAAAATGTTGTTAGGGCGGGGGTGGTTCGCGGAGTTGGTGGTCTGTCTTTCTTGGGCACCCAAAAGAGTAGTGAGGGGTGGTCTCGTCCCAGTAGGTCATGTTCCAGGTCCACCCATAGCTTGAGCATCGGTTGTGCGTGTAGGTTCTGTATCTGGGCTAGTTGGGCCGCCTGGTAGTAGAGGTAAAAATCTGGGAGGCCCAGGCCTCCGGTTCTGGTGGTTTTATACATTGTGGCTCTTTTGATACGTGGCCTTTTATTGGACCAAATGAATTTGTCTCATGTATCTCTTTTTTTTAAAAGAAAACAACCGGAGGTTTTAAACTTGGGGTATTTTGACTCTTTTCATGCAATCATTATACCACCAATCTATGCAAAATAAAAAATAAAAAAAGTTGTTTTTTTGACACACATAGCAATTTAGGAATACATGTACTTTTTGAACTTTAAGGGTTACTGCCAAACAACACCCCAATATGTGTTCAGCAACATTTCTTGAGTACAGTGATACCACCCATGTATAGGCTTGTCGTGTTCTCTGGAGGTGGGTGGAGGGGGGTGGCTAAAATACCTTATATGGAGAGTGCGCATTCCAGTTTTCCACCTTGGAATTTTCACAGCTGGTCATCATGCACTGATGTCCTAATTGGGACATTTTGGAAGCCCACCAATGTAATTTACCCCTATCAAATCATATATTTTTGAAAAGTAGACACCCTAGAATATTTTAAATGGTGGTATTTTAACACTTTCCATGCACTAATTCTACCACCAGTCTTTGTCAAACTTTTGGAGAAAATGTGTGGTGGTAATTGTTCAAAAAAACCAAACAAAAACATGCACGCACGCTTGTTTGGGCGACAATGTTCCCCAATACATCATCGCCCAGAAACACCTCCATAAACTGTTGGGGGTTAAATCCTGCGACATCCACATTGATGCCAAGATTTGTGATGAAGAGTGGGATATCTGGCCTCTGACGATGAAGCGCTACCCACTCCTCAGCAGTACTGCCAGCTGGGGCAGCATATCTCCTTCTGGCAGGGGGGTCTAGCAGCCACAGATACATCACTAGATACATCACTAGCAGTGGACACTGTATCTAGTGATGTATCTGAGCACCTGGCAGGGTCAAAATCAGGGTAGGAGTCAGACATAGACACGTCACACTCTAACACAAGGATGGCATATGCAGCGCTATGCAACATCTGTCACATGATCGCAATCACTTTATTTAGTGATCTGTCACAAAAAAAAAATCACTAAATAAAATTAACCCCTAAAAAAATGCACAGACAGCAAAATAAGTGCTGCCATGCAAGAGTTGGTGATCTATACAGTGATCACTGGCAGGATAGGGGTTAAAAGCTCTGAAAAGAGGCTTTGAGTCTCACAAAAAAATGAACCCCTAAAAAAATGCACAGACAGCAAAAAGTTGCTGCTGTGCAAGATCCAGTTATTTATAGTGATCACTGGCAACATAAGCGTTAATGGCTTTGGGTCTCCAAATTTGACATATTCCTACCTGAAACTACCTTAATCTCTCTAATTTAACACAGTCTCTCTCTCTCACTAAAACACAAGTGAAGAGAGGGAGGGAGATCCACACTAATCAGAGTCAATTTGGACCTGACCAGACAAATGGGGATCATAGTAATAATAAATATTAAATCATATTATAGGGGGCAAATGCTTATAGAGGGCTCATTGGTTGACCCTAGTCTGCTCTAGTGCCTCGACCCCTCGAGGCACTCAGCACACACAGAGCATTAGAAGCCTGCCCGTGTGGGGCACCCTGGAAGTCAGCAATACCCTTAAAGCGGCTGGATGCGATCATATTTGCCGCGGATGTACTAAGTATGTCTGCAGTCCTTAAGGACTTTTCTTTGTTGGGCGTACCTAGGACGCCTCGACCACTCGAGGCACTCAGCACACAGGCAGAGCATCGGAAGCCTGCCCGATGGCTTCCGATGCTCTGCTACACTGCTGGGCGCCATGTGGTGCAACCCGGAAGTGAACGCTCCTGGGGAGCGATCACTCAGCAGCCCGCAATCAGGAGCAATTGCAGCAATATCCTTAGAGCGGCTGAAAGCGATCATATTTGGTGCTGATGTCCTTAAGGACCGTTTTTTTGTCGGACGTACCTAGTACGTCCACAGTCCTAAAGGAGTTAAACTTTATCACTTGATAGCAAAGGTTGTGTCAATAAGACATTATCTTGCTTATCACAAGATACCTATGGAGGCCTCTGCAGGACCATCCATAGACATCAGTGTTGTACTTGTGTAGGCTCCTGGTGGATCAAGTACCAGAAGCTGAAGATAGAAGTAGGCAGTGCATATGATCTGGTAAGTACAAGTCACCTCTGCTGACAAAACAGGTGACAGTCTTCTTATCCATAAAGTGGCTAAGACAGCTTGTTAGCCACAATGTGCATGGGACTTTGCAGTGAGCAGGTGTGCCTTTTGAAAAGAAAGACTATTTGTGCCAATGGATGATCGTACAAAACATGGCGGAACAGAAGGCAAAGCAGAAGCAGAAAAGAAAACAAAAATGGGTTTCCCTCTAAGCCATCCTCTTTTATTTGCTCAAGAGAGGATATACAGTTGCAAGAAAAAGTATGTGAACCCTTTGGAATGATATGGATTTCTGCACAAATTGGTCATAAAATGTGATCTGATCATCATCTAAGTCACAATAGACAATCACAGTCTGCTTAAACTAATAACACACAAAGAATGAAACGTTGCCATGTTTTTATTGAACACACCATGTAAACATTCACAGTGCAGGTGGAAAAAGTATGTGAACCCTTGGATTTAATAACTGGTTGAACCTCCTTTGGCAGCAATAACTTCAACCAAACGTTTCCTGTAGTTGCAGATCAGACGTGCACAACGGTCAGGAGTAATTCTTGACCATTCCTCTTTACAGAACTGTTTCAGTTCAGCAATATTCTTGGGATGTCTGGTGTGAATCGCTTTCTTGAGGTCATGCCACAGCATCTCAATCGGGTTGAGGTCAGGACTCTGACTGGGCCACTTCAGAAGGCGTATTTTTTTCCTGTTTAAGCCATTCTGTTGTTGATTTACTTCTATGCTTTGGGTCATTGTCCTGTTGCAACACTCATCTTCTATTGAGCTTCAGCTGGTAGACAGATGGCCTTAAGTTCTCCTGCAAAATGTCTTGATAAACTTGGGAATTAATTTTTCCTTCGATGATAGCAATCCGTTCAGGCCCTGACGCAGCAAAGCAGCCCCAAACCATGATGCCCCCACCACCATACTTCACAGTTGGGATGAGGTTTTGATGTTGGTGTGCTGTGCCTTTTTTTCGCCACACAGTGTTGTGTGTTTATTCCAAACAACTCAACTTTGGTTTCATCTGTCCACAGAATATTTTGCCAGTACTGCTGTGGAACATCCAGGTGCTCTTGTGCAAACAGTAAACGTGCAGCAATGTATTGATTCGACAGCAGTGGCTTCCTCTGTGGTATCTTCCCATGAAATCCATTCTTGTTTAGTGTTTTACGTATTGTAGATTCGCTAACAGGGATGTTAGCATTTGCCAGTGACTTTTGTAAGTCTTTAGCTGACACTCTAGGATTCTTCTTCACCTCATTGAGCAGTCTGCGCTGTGCTCTTGCAGTCATATTTACAGGATGGCCACTCCTAGGAAGAGTGGCAGCAGTGCTGAACTTTCTCCATTTATAGACAATTTGTCTTACCGCGGACTGATGAACAGTAAGGTTTTGGAGATACTTTTATAACCCTTTCCAGCTTTATGCAAGCTCTTTTGTGCGAGGCATCATTCACATCAGGCAATGCTTCTTGTGAAAAGCAAACCCAGTACTGGTGTGTTTTTTATAGTGTAGGGCAGCTGTAACCAACACCTCCAATCTCATCTCATGGATTGGACTCCAGTTGGCTGACATCTCACTCCAATGAGCTCTTGGAGATGTCATTAGTCTAGGGGTTCACATACTTTTTCCACCTGCACTGTGAATGTTTACATGGTGTGTTCAATAAAAACATGGAAACACTTCATTATTTGTGTGTTATTAGTTTAAGCAGACTGTGATTGTCTATTGTTGTGATTTAGATCATGATCAGATCACATTTTATGACCAATTTGTGCAGAAATCCATATCATTCCAAAGGGTTCACATACTTTTTCTTGCAACTGTATATTGGCCATTTTGAACCAGGACATCAAACAGATATAAGAAAAATAACCTGATGCGCATTTTGGTGCGTAGATATATGCACCTTCGCCCCTGACGTAGGTACATATATCTACGCACCGAAACACGCGTCAGGTTATTTTTCTTTCTCCTACTTTCTGACACTGGGCACGGTGCTTATTTACCTCACTTTGGTACTAATTACATGTTTAGTTACATCCAAACACTTTTAATCTCATGTTCACGGGTTGATCAATATGCTAACTGATTAACCATCTTTTTCTTTTCCTATTACCTATCCAGTTAGATTTTCAGGGAAAGAGGCTTATCTTTGTCTTTCCTTCTCTCACTTTCTCCTGTCTTGATGCATTAGATACCTATGATTTGATATACTTTGACAAATTATTATTTGATATTTATTCTTTCCTTTTTTTGCCACGTTATCTCTTATTTCATAGCATTAATTAGGAGACGGCTTACATTATTAGGAATTTAGACAATCTTAATCATTAGGTTTATCTTGCATTGTGCGTTTTAGCTCACTTCGGACAGGAGTCTGTAAAATGTATACGCATCTAACTCCTATTATGCTAATTTTGGCAATATACAATAAAGCCAGGTATGCGCACCCATTGGTAGACTTGCAATGAAAGGTATAGGAAAGGGGAATTGGATGTACTTGTCCATCTAGGGACAAATGACTTGGCTTGCAATGAGGTTTCAGAGGTTAAGGAAGTTTTTAGTGTTTTTGCCAATGATATACGGCAGGTTGCTTCCACACTGTCATTCTCTGAAGTTCTGCCT